ACACACACACACACAAAACACATCAGTTCCAGCATTGCTAACTTGACAGCGCAGTTGGTACTTTATCAAAATAAAATACAGTGAACCAAACATCAACGCGCCCGCCTCTGTGTCACCGTTGGAACGCGGCTGAAGTACAAAGCCTATAATTTACATAATAAATAATAGTTATATTCAACGGTACACAGATGTCACGGTTCGCTACGTACCTCGGTTCGGGGGTCACGGTTCGATACGATTTCGGTACAACAGGGGAAAAAAACAAATCTACTATGCTTGGTTTCTTTTAATTTATTTTGAACAGACAGTAGTGCAAATTAAGAAAAAATTCCACCTAGATGTGCAAATACTAAATATTATTGCATTGTTATATATATATAAAGTATACTCCTTTGTCAGTCTGTGAGAGACGCATTCAGAATCAGCACACGGTCACTGTCTAGTGGGCTTTGTTTTCAAGTGTGCAACTCATGGCATTCACTGTTCTTCTGCTGGCGGCCGGTTATCAAACACCGTTGCATTGCTGTGGGCGCCCCCTTCTGGATTTCGTTGTAAGGCCTCATGCACCGAACCGAGATGTCCGCACCGTGACGGTTCAGTACGAATACATGTATCGTTCCACCCCTAATATATATATATATATATATATATAAAATACCAACTGAAATCTGTTTCTCTCCCCATAATTAACAAATGCATAAATTGTAGTTAATTCATTTAATTCATTCTCCAAACCAATTGTCCTGTGTAGCGTGGCGTAATTACTTGTAAGTAGTAAATATTAACTAAACATTTAAACTAAAAATATTTTTTGAAATAAGATACCTAAATATACTGTTGATTTGAATGGGAATTTGTGTGTGTGTAGAAATTGTGTTTTGGGAATCCACTGGCTCCTCAGGCTCTAGAGGACGTGAAGACAGTCGTTTGGAAGAACACCAGTGATGGAGTCCAGGACAACGGACTCACACTCAACGGTAACACACGTTACACATATTCATATTCCTTAGACCCACTCTCATTTGTACATTAATCGTAATTACACACTGTTACAAGTGTGTTTGTGTGTTTTCCCTAGGTTTCCTGTTCTTGAACACTCTCTTTATCCAGAGGGGACGTCATGAAACCACCTGGACCATCCTGCGTAAATTCGGCTACGATGACACGCTCGACTTGACCGATGACTACCTCTACCCACCGTACGTCTGTGCATGAGAGAGCATGTGATTGCATGAGCAAAAACCAGTATTTAAGTGACTTAGACGTGTGTGTTTATAGATTACGAGTATCGGTGGGTTGCACGACGGAGCTGAATCATCTGGGTCATCAGTTCCTCCAGAAGCTGTTTGATAAGTATGACGAGGTGAGCTCTCACATCTGGTCCTCTAATGAACTTTGCGTGATTAGTAGGGATGTAACTATGGGGCTTGTTTTAAAATTTCAATTTAGTTTTGTTATTTACATTTACATTATATTTAAATTTTGTCATTTAGCAGACGCTTTTATCCAAAGCGACTTACAAATGAGGACAATAGAAGCAATCAAAACCAACAAAAGAGCAATAATATGCAAGTGCTATATTAGTATATTATTATAGTTATATTTCAATTTCACAAAGAAATGTGCAGCATTTTGTCCAAGCATTAACAAAAGGACACATTTAATTTATAATTTATCTTAAATCTCATTTTGTAAAAAAATAAAAAATAAAAAATTGAGAATCGAATCGTGAGTTGAGTGAATCGTTACATCCCTAGTGATTAGAGGTTCGTCAGGCTGATGATTGCGTCTCTCCTCCTGCAGGATAAAGATTCAGCTCTCTCTCCCGCAGAGCTGAAGAATCTGTTTAGTGTTTTACCCTACATGCCCTGGGGCCCGGAGGTGTACAGTAATGTCTCCCTATCAGACGACAACTACATCTCACAGCACGGGTACTTCTGCCAGTGGATGTGAGTCAAAGTTTGAACAGTGCAATACACATTTAAATCGATTATTTTCTGGTAGGTATTAATACACATTTCCCCTTTTGATTCAATTCTGATTTGATTTGTTTAAAATATTCCATCACTTGAAGTACTGCTCTGGCCAATTCATTCAGTAAATCATCAGATTAAATCATACAGCAACTCTTGTTTTTGTGGGCATTTTAGAATGATTCATTAAAAGGACCTGATCGAAAGAGTCATTTGTTTGTGAATTAGACACTGGTTGCTCTGTGTGTTTATGATGCACTAAAAAAAAAGAGTCATCTTATTGTGAATCATGTTGTGTTATGATTCACTAAAAAGTACTGCTTCATAAGAGTAATTTTTTCGTGAATCAGACTTCACTGGTTGTGCTGTATGTTAATGATTCACTAAAAAACTGTTCATAAGCTTTGTTTGTTTGTGAATCATACTACACATGTTGTGCTGTATATGATTCACTAAAAAGAATCAACATATGAGTCGTTTGTGAATCATGCTACACATGGTGTGCTTTGTTTATGATTCACTTAAAAGAACCAGTTCATAAGAGTCATTTATTTGTGCAGGAAACTAGCATAACGTAAAGGATTTTGGGATTTTATTAAGAATTGGAATATTATTAAAATGCATTCCCAGTTCGGTAGTTATAGTTCTAAATTCGATGTGTTATTGAATAAACCGCAGGTTATCCGCTTATCTGGATGTCCACCGGTGTTTGGAGCATCTTGGTTACCTCGGCTATCCCATTCTAATGGAGCGAGAGTCCCAGACCTCCGCCATCACAGGTAGGGATGCACCCGTACCATTTTTTCAGATCCAATCCGATCTGATAACAACAATTCTGAGTATCAGCCGATTCGATACCAGCGCAGTTTATTTTTTTTAAATCAGTGTAGAATTTCTTTACCTCTATGTGTGTTGACCTGATCAGCACTGTTTTGTGTTAAAAACACAATCTACTAAATATAGACAACTTCATTTTAAAGAAAAATAACAAATGAAAAAATATAGAATCATAATACTATTACAAACTAGGTTAGTGGATAATTCAGCAGCAAAAGTTACTCTAGAAAAATCATGAGTGCACAATAATTTTATAGAATCTAATCATTTAGTGAAAAAAAATATTTAGTATATAGCACAGTAATGAGGCAGCAACATATGATAGATAAGACAACAAGAAAGGCTATTAATAATCTTTCATTGTGCAAAAGTATTATAATAAGAGAGGCTCTAATACACAGCAGCACTTATGATGCACTTGAAGCAACACTGAGTCACAGTGCGCAGCGCTCCGCATAGAAAAGTTCAAAGCACAAAGGGAAGAGATATTGATGCGTAGTGTATTATATCTATGCGATAGAGTCTTTTCTTTTAACTGTGTTAAATTTCAGTTACTATGCATGTGAAGAACAATTCATAGTGCTCTCTATTCCAGTGCTGTGATCTTACTTGATACCCGGTAAAAAGTAACATGATTTAGAAACAGCACTAAACTCCAGCAAGATAAAGTCCTTTAATGCAGTATCAGATCTGCGCATCTCTAGTCACAGGTAATGAGTTCCACACACAGACCTGCTGTAAACTCCACGTTTGATCAGACGGACACTGAAGAGTATTTCTTTCTTTTTCTGTGTGTGTATGTTAGTAACAAGAGAAAAGGCCTTAGACCTGGAGAAGAGACAAACCCAGCGCACTGTGTTCCTCTGCAAAGTGATCGGTCCACGTGGAACAGGAAAGACCGACTTCCTCCAAGCTTTTCTGCAGCGAAGCACTGAGGTGAGAGAATGACTTAAAGGCAAAAGTTTGTTTGTAATTTTACTTTACAAAATACTGCATGAAGCCAATCAGAACAAACTGCATTCAATTCAGAGCCAATCAGGACATATGTAATGTTTGATATACAGTATATATATATATACACACATACAGTATATATACCAATGAGATTTTTAGTAACACAATAAATAAAATTTAAACTACAGTCAATCCGAACATATTTAATGTTTAATATATTTTTATATTGTTTATTTATTTTGAAAACTAGTTTTTTATATACCGATGAGATTTTTAGAAACACAATAAATAAAAACAATTAAAACCTGCAGTCAAATCAGAGCCAATCAGAACATATTTCATGTTTAATTGTTTTTTTTTAAATATATATTTTATATACCAATAAAATTTGTATGAATAAAGAAAAAATTTAAAGGTTCATGGATTTTCTACTTTTTATTAAGCAAATGGTTTCTCTTTTGATGCAATGAAAATACATACAATGACCAAGATTTTTTTACAGTAAAACAATAGCATTAATATATGGTTACAAAATAGTACTTGTTGCTTCTTAAGGCAGTTTACTCTAGAAAGAGGTTTTCATGCTTTGCTTTTGGTATCTAACCACAATTTGTAGTCTGTCTAGGAAATATTTATGTTTTTTGTGGCTCCCAATAGTCTTGGTTAGATCTACCAAATATTTACAAAGTTGATGATGAAGGTGTATTTTGTTTGCTTTCAGAGAAACGAGCGCGACCCCAGTCCCCCCACAATATACGCCATCAACACCGTCTCAGTAGCCAATCAGGACAAGTACCTCATCGTAAGTAGCGTCTCATGCTTTACACGCTCCGTAGTTTATTGGGTCCCGCCTGACGTGTGTGTTATTTCTCACAGCTGGAGGAGGTGGATGTGGAAACAGAGTTTCTAAAAACAGCAGATGCAGCATGTGATGTGGCGTGTCTCATGTATGATGTCAGCGACCCGGACTCCTTCAACTACTGCGCTAGTATTTATAAGGTACAGACGACCACACATGCACGAGATGCTTTAGTTCTGGAGTAATGTGGGACAAACTCACACGCCTCATAGTATTCATTAACCATATTAAAATCACATCATCCAAATGATTTAATAACCCATAATGACCTTGCACAACCTGATATCTGTCAGTGAGTAATATATGATGCGAGTTATTTATTTCTCATGAAGCCTGTTTGGCTAACATGCACTTCTATTTACACTATTAATATAACTCAAGGAAATCAATTTATGATTTTTTTCTTAAATGGTGTTTCACAGAATTTTGTAAACAAAGAAATTTCATGCACTACTGTTCAAAAGTTAAAAAAAAAAAAAAAAAGATTACTGCTTTTATTCAACAAGGATGCATTACATTGATCAAATGCATCAGACATGACATTTGTGAAAGATCATGTGACACTGAACACTGGAGTAATGGCTGCTGAAAATTCAGTTTTGCCATCATAGGGATAAATTACATTTATAAGGTATTTAAATTAATTATTTTAAATTGTAATAATATTTCACAGTATTATTGTTGTTACTGTATTTTTTTTATCAAATAAACGCAGCAACTTCAGTAGCAAAAGTAGTAGAGTTGTCAAGACGTAGTATCTGTTTCACTGGCTTTTGAAGTATATTTGTGTGTTATTCCTCTTTAGCAGCACTACATGGACCGTGGAATCCCGTGTGTGGTTGTGGGCTCCAAAGCTGATCTGATAGAAGTCAAACAGCATCATGGGATGAGCCCGTCTGAGTTTTGTTACAAACATCGGCTGCCTTCTCCTCTCCATTTTTCCACGCTGCTCACACACACTCACACACACATTTACAGCAAGCTCACCTGGGCTGCCATGTACCCGTAAGTACATACTTGTCTTACAGTTTTTGTTTTTTTTTATTTATACTTAATAATTAAATTATTTTATTAATAATTAAATGAGAAATTTTAGAAAAAAATGTACATTTTAATATTAATTCAGTTTTTATTTATATTTAATAATAAATTCATTCATTTCTTCTCTTTTTTAGCCATTACATTTAAGCTTGTTTAAATTAAACCACTTCAAAGAACCAAAAATATTTAATAAATAAATAAAGACATTTAAAATAATATAAGTATTAAACTGCTACATTTAAATTAAACCACTTTAAAGAACCAAAACATAAAAATAAAAATCTTTGCAATCTTTCATGAAAATTAAGAAGTAATGCTCACTCTGACTTTCAAACTGCTTTGGTTTTCGGGTTGATGTCGCCAAGCCCTCTTATTCTTACACCCACTTTTCACAATCCAGTCAATTCCTGTTTAATAAAATTGTCTACTCTTTTCATTGAATACCATGTGCCACTCGTAAATATTTATGTTGAATAAATTGGGTTACAGACGTTGCCTGTTGACTTCAAAGATTTGCAGATGCAAGACTAAAATTAGCCTGCTTGGCTGGATGTATGTCACCAGAAATACTGAGTGTATTTAAATCTCTCTCTATCTATGTCACTTCCTGTCTGCAGGCATCTGAACGGATCAGACATGAGCAGCACGTCTTTCTGGCTGCGTGTGACTCTGGGCGCCACAATAGCTGCCATGCTGGGCTTCGCTCTGTACAGAGCCTTTAGCCGACACAAATGATGCAGACACAATACATGCAGATAAACACACACTCCCTCTTTCCCGCGCTCTGTCTTGGCCTTACAGTGACAACAACACAATTATGCAGATGTTTGTTTGTTTGTTTTTTTCAGCTGGACTAAAGTATTGTACACACGCTTTGCTTTTATTATGAAAAATTCCCGATCTTACTGTTTGACCTACATCGGTCGACCCCAAGAGATGTTTTTTTCATCATGTTTTGAGAGGAACAATATCAAGAAATGATTTAAAAGGGTATGTTTTGAATTGTACAGAGTTTGTAATGTAGTTAATAGCTTGGGAAATCAATATGGATCATGAAAATATTCCATGTGAATTCGTATTGCGTTTCTGAAGTGTATATTCAAACGAATCTCAATGTTGGGGTCAGTTATTCGGTTTTACCTCAGCCGGTTCAGGAAACGCACTTAAATTCATAATTCAGCCTCTCATAATGTTTGAGAAGCTAAAGTAAGTTCTGGGTTAAATAGAAGTTAAAGAAATAGTTCATTACCTGAAAAGTGACTCACCCTCAAGATTTGGCGAAATTTAGCATCACTTGCTCAACAATGGATGCTCTGCAGTGAATGGGTGCCATCAGAATGAGAGTCCAAACAGCTGATAAACACATCACAGTAATCCACACCACTCCAGTCCAGCAGTAAGCATCTTGTGAAGTGAAAAGTGTGTTTTAACTTTAAAGCATCACTTCTGGCCAAAATATGAGTCCATAATAATGCTTCCTTCAGTGAAAAAGTTCATCTCCTGTTGTGCCTCACATCAAAATCCACCCACATATTTGTTTAGAGCTGTTTTTGGCTTGTAAATGGTGCTTGATCTGTGCAGATTTCTCTCCTGATTCAGACCAGGTGACTTTTTCACTGGAGAAAGCAATATTATGAATAGAGGACTCATATTTTAGCCGAAAACAATGGTTTGAAGTTAAAAACATATTAGTGATTGATTAGTTTATTACAGATATAATACAGCTAGTGGATTACTTGCATCACTTGTGGATTATTGTGATGTTTTTATCATCTGTTTGGGAGTCCACTGACGGCACCCATTCACTGCAGAGCATCCATTGGTGAGCAAGTGATGCAATGCTACATTTCTCCAGATCTGTTCTGATAAAGAAACTTATCCATTTCTTATACAGCATGAGGGTAAGTACATTTTCAGCAAATTTTCATTTTTCGATGAACTATTCCTTTAAACTTTATTTAAATGCTACAGATGTCAGCAGAAAATAAGCATTTTGGCTCTGAATTCACAGATTTTTCAGATGTATTTAACCCATTTAAGTGTAATCTTCTAAATTGGCCGAATTAAAGGGAAATAAACATCAGTCCCCATTCATTTCCATTTCACATTCCTCAGATGTGCGTTTATATGTATGGACCATGACTGACAAATGTGTGTATGTATTTTTTTTTTAAGACAGCCGAGGCAAAACCCATTGATGATTTTGAGAATAGTTAAACTGGGCTGAGACTTGCAAAATCTTGCTTTTCTGTTCGCCTATGTTGATTGTAGGGGTGAATGATTTCTGATTATGTTTAAAATTGCAGTAGGGTTGAATGGTGTTAAGTGTATTTTAAATGATATTTTAGGAAGATGAAATGCTCTGATGCTATTTAGAGCCATCCTGTATTTACAAAAACCAGATAACCAGTGTGAATACAGTTACTTCAACCATTAATGACCTGGCTGACTGTATTTATAATATTGTCCAAACTGGATTTATCTTGAAACCATTGTTACCATTTTACCATTTATTGGGCCTAAACACATTCTCCCAGCAACCCAAAAGCCAGTTTCAGGGCTGAAGGTCTTTCTGGTTCATTCACGTGAATTTGCATGTGAAGATACTTCTTCAAAAAGATAGAACTGTAGCAGTCCTGCTTTATTGGTTTAATTTTCATAATTTCAATATTTTGTGCAGTATTATTAACTCAGCCTAAAAATCCCCCAGGCTTGTGTCTCATCTGCCTTGGTCTTCAGCTTCAATATCAAATGAGATGCTTGGAATGACGCCAGAATGTTCTAATAGAAATATTTTGCAATAAACTAGCTTTTTTCCCGGTGATTTTGTTTACTGTGCTCTATGACATCAGCATGCTGAAAAGGTGGTGCACTTTGCTTGATCACATGACTCAAGCAGCTGATTATCTGTTGAGAGATCATACAATACACATTGTGCTTCGGGTTATTCTGTTAGATTATCACATTATTCAGCCAATTCATATATTTCTGTAATATAAATCGAGTTTTAACACATGAATGTGTCAGGCAGGTCCGGGAGGTTTGCAGCAGGCCCTCTTGTATCAGTGAACCTGTATCTCATTACTGTTCAGACTGCATACAGCATCACGTTTCAAGAACATTATGCAATATACATAGAGCAGATCAGAGATGCTCGAGGTGAGTTTTGGATAGTTTTCAACATAAAGGATAGTGTACTGTACAGTGGGGTCCAAAAGTCTGAGACTGCTAGTGAAAATGCTTGCATTCTTTTTCATTTAATGCATATTTTGTTTACAATTATCAGCATAACCAGTTGAATAAATTTGAGAATGTTTTAGTTTGTCTTTTTTTTTGCTTTAATGACAATCATGTTCTCCAGCATGATTTGATGTTCTTAAGAGCATCTTGAGCTACAAATCTAATCCGACAGAAATCTGAAATGTTTCAATATAATACAATTTTTGTCTCAAAATTATTTCCAAGGTCAGTTGGAAAAAGTCTCAGGTTTTTAATGAAGTCTGGTGTGCATAAGTGTGTATTTTAGGTGCTAAAATGGGTCGCTATTAAATTTTCACAATTTGCTTTTTGGAATTCACTTGAATAGTCATAGTTCACTATTACAAGTTAATGTTATGTGAAGATTTTATATTTGAAATAGTTTTAAATTGAGTATATCATGCAGGATTATAGTTTATCTTTTTATTTGTTTTTATGACATTTAATTTGTATTTCAGTTTTAGATTTTTAAAGAATTATCTGTAGCATTTGTAACAATTTTGTATATTATTCATATTTAATGAAGGCAAGTTGTAAAGGCTTCAAATGTTGCATGTTGTGTATCAAACTAAAATGAATGTGGTGGGGTTTTTTAGTCTTAGAAAAAAATGTTTTGGTTCTGTTTGAAATTGCTTTCATTTTTCGATGTCACGTCGCTTGACAAGTCATCTGAACGAAGGCATTTGCGTTTACCCTCAGCGTGACACTGACAGCTGCAGTTCTCAGATCAAACACCGCGGGGCAGCAGTGAGTCAAAACGCCCCTCAAAACCAAAGATGCTCTTCCTCAGGACCCCCCATCTCACCCGGGACCACTGCCATGGTACCTGTTTAAACTCATCTATCTGAGCTCTCCATGGTGCTGCAGTAAAACACTAGACAAAGTTCTGTTTGCAATTAGAAAAGTTTATTGATGCACAGTAAAGCGAATAACGCGCAATGACAGTATTATATGGACAGCAATGGGACTAGACTACAACAGTCCACGTCACAAGTTGATTCTGTACATCGTCATCAAATAGGACACCGTTCTTCAATGACATTTTATTCTTGTTCTTCACATTCCTAGAATGACCTACAGAATATAACTTATCTTCTAGCGACATATCTAATTGGCAAATTAATTAGAATGTCTGAATGATAATAATAGTGTGCAGTTCAGCTTAAAGAAGAAAAAAAAAACGTCCAGAAAGAAATCTTTAAAAAATAAATAACAGTTTAGCCGTTTCGATGTCTGGGATCTTCTTTATAGAATCACAAATGCGCACAAAAAAAGTCTCTGGAGAAACACGCTTGTAAAAATGTGGGGTTGAAGTCCGCGCACGAAGACCTTACAAAAATAACAATATACCAAAAACATTTGCTTCAAAAATTGTCTTTACACTGAGTTTCGAGTGAATCAGTCCTGTCGATTTGAATTTAACGTTACTTCTTTTTGCCCGTTCTCCTGGCCGCTGTCTTGGGTTTGGGTTTCGCCGTTTTCACCTTCTTGGCTTTGCTCGTCTTGGCAGGTTTGGCCACCTTCGCCTTCTTCACAACTTTCTTGGCTTTGACAGGCGATTTCTTCTTCTCCGCTGCCTTCTTCACTTTCTTCTCGGCGGCTTTCTTAGTTTTCGCGGGGGGTTTCGCCACTTTCTTGGGCTTGGGGGCTTTCTTGGGTTTGGCAGCGGCTTTGGCTGGCTTCTTGACTTTCACGGGTGCTGGTTTGGGTTTCTCTGGCTTCTTGGCGTCCTCGGCTTTGGCCAGTTTGAAGGAGCCCGAGGCTCCGATGCCCTTGGTGTGTCGCAGAAGCCCGCTGGCCACCAGGCGCTTCAGGGCGAGTTTGATCTGGGAGTCGGCGTTGTCTCCCACCTTGTAGTGGTTCTTCACGTACTTCTGGATGGACTGACGCGACGCGCCGCCGCGGCTCCGGTCGGCTGCGATGGCCGCTTTGATCATCTCGGAGTATTTGGGATGCGACGCCGATTTCTTGGACCCTTTCGTCTTCCTGGGCTTGGACGCCGGAGTAGCTGCCGTTTCAGCCATGGTCGGTCCTGGAGGATTTCAAACAAAAACAGAACCGAACTGTCAAAAAGTTAATTTACTTGAAAAAAAAAAAAAATATTGAACAGCTCTTGAAAATTATCGATAGCAGATTAAATTACCACCGCGTCGCGCCTTCGTCTTTGTTCAGGCTCCAATTAAAATATGTATTTAAATAACCCACACTCAGCGCTGCAGAAAGTGTGTATATTATTCTCCGAAGTGCGCCTGTACAATATATGAAGCCTCCACGCGGACGTGATTGAGAACACCAACTGCCAGCAGCTGATCAAGCGGGCTTCCATGAAATCTGCGCGGGCTGGTTTGTGTTTCTTCCTCCTCGAACTGAGGCCGAATTTAGCCAGACTCGTTCGGTACCGATCCTCCCAACGACACGGTCCGAGAGGGGAGACTTTGGGCTGTACGTGCGTATGTCGTTTTGTCCTGAATTCATTTCGCCATGAACTTTTTTTCCCCGAAAATCAGCTCAAACCGACGAGCGCGGTGATGTATTTTGCAGAATTCGCGTAAAATTAGCCCAAAACAACGAAAACGTGCTGGAAAACACCGAATGTTTATAAAAGCCCCATCAACACACTTGAGGACAGGACGGGTTTGATTCATGCAAAACGTCGTTTTCGTTTTTAATAAGCTGAGGTAGCTGACGAACTAACACAGTCCGGCCACCGAGTCCGCGTGACGTTTCTCCGATTATTTATTGTTAAACCTACTATAAATTAAATGTGCGCGAAATAAAGTGGCTCTCATATTGCGGCTCATATTCACACATTTCAAGAGGTGTTGGTGTCATGCATGAGCTTCAGATCTAAACGAGTAAAACGTTACAGTATATAAACCAGGAGCTCCTATGCTGAGTGCTCTGAGAGAAGAGCTCGGCTGTTAGGAAAGTTGCCAACGACCCAAAGCCCAGCTTTACCGACCAGAACCCACCGGTGCCGTGGTCAGGTTCAGCATATCGATCAGTGCATGCATTCCCAGTGGTTTGTGCGTTATGGATCCGATTGAGATATTAAGACTGGGCTGATGCTTTAAACGCTCGTGCATTCTTTTGTTATCGCTCCGTTGGCAGAGAAACGCGTATCCCGTCGGGTTATTTTCCCCTCATTTTTGCACCGTTCACTTATGAAGTCATCGGTTTAGTTCAGGCTGCTATCGGGCTGATGCACATTTATATTTCTATCGCTCCGGCTTGTTCTGTTAATCACATTTTCAGGCTTGATGGTGTTTCAGTCAGAACGCCATCTTGAATCTCTTCACTTTAAGGCTTTACTATTCACATCCACTGCAAACTTTTAATTAGCCTACTGGATATTTGCAATGAAACTCAAGTTGATAAAGCTGATTATTCATCTTTTTTTAAGTTAGCACTCAAGTTGGCGATTGAGCGCGCTGGGAGTTTTCTCTCAGGAATAATAGTGAACCGGGACACTAATGCATTTCTGTTTCTATAATAATATTAATTAATAATTTCCTCTAGACAGTTGTGGGCTCTTGAAGGTTGTTGTTATGGCGTCTTTTGTGGCAGACTTTAACAGAATGTCTTCATATAGTAGGTATTAAGCACATCTCACACTCTTTCTGTTATGACAGTCTCGCTGTGTGTGTGTTTGCATGCATCTATGAGATACAGACTAGTACATACAGCTCCTCTTTGTGATGTAGTGTAAGGTGTCTGCAGGTGTCTAGTGCTGAAAACAGCACCTTCCCTCACTCAGTCCATGTTAATAAGATACATAGCTATATTGCAATTGTACAAAAAAAGGTACAAAAGCTGGCACTAGTGCGGTACACTTTCAAAAGTTACTAATGTGTACCATCTATGCAAGTACACTTTAGGTATTAGCATGCACCTTTAAGGTACTAAAATGCACCCTTTAGAGGTAAATAAAGTAAAAAGGTGTACCTTTTGAAAAGGTGCCACCCTAGTGACAGCTTTTGTACCTTTTTTTCTGAAAGTGGGGTTCGGAAATATTTCTGAACAACAGTATAGAAATTAGTTTGTGGGCACACAATGCAATGCATTATTTCAATGCAATAATTTCACAAATGTAGAGATCAGGAAAGTTACAGAATTTTAGTATTTTTAACTGAAAATAACCGATATTTTTCATTATAGGCTGCTGCTGCTGAGATGCGAAAAACAAAATAGCAGATTGATTGTCCTGGACATTGTGAGTAACATCCATATTATGGTGTTATAATTGCAGAAGGACTGAAAATAACAATGTAAACTGCTCAAGGAAATAATTACGTGCATGTTTTTCATTAGTAGGCCTATGTAACAGCACTAATCCAGTGTACTGAACACTAAAAACTTCCACATAAAGTCAGAATTATTGTATTTTCCTATTTAATATGCAGGAATTAACATTTTTCTCATGTTTGTGATTTTTCTGTCTAGAGTACTTATATTACAGCTATGCATGACGTCAGGCTATAAGGTGGCTGAATCGCTCTTACATGTGCTACCCATTATATACGGTATGTGTTATGCATATTTACATGACAAAACTTAAAAAAAAATTCTATAAAGATATATGGTTGTGTGCTTTGTCATTTGCATTATATGCTATGCAACTGCACATAAAGCACAAAAGCACAGGTTTGTTAAAGGGATAGTTCACCCAAAGTGAAAATTTGCCGAAAATGTATCCAGGATGTAGATGAGTTTGTTTCTACATCAGAACAGATTTGGAGAAATGTAGCATTGCATCACTTGCTCACCAATGGATGCTCTGCAGTGAATGGGTGCCGTCAGAATGAGAGTCCAAACAGCTGAAAAAAAAACATCACAATAATCCACACCACTCCAGTCCACCAGTTAATGTCTTGTAAAGCAAAAAACTGTGTGTTTGTAAGAAACAAATCAAGGCATTTTAACTTCAAACAAACTAATTTGCATGGCCTGAGGGTGAGTACATTTTCAGCAGATTTTCATTTTTGGGTGCACTGTTTCTTTAAGCCTAATTATAGAATAAACAGTTTTTATTTGATTAACATAACACTTGTATGTCTTTAAAATGTCAAATGAGAGAAATGTGTGCATGCAAGTGTGGATTAAAAGTCTTTGTGTGTCTGTAAGTGTATAAAGAATGACTTACGTATGTTTCACCAGTAGAGAGCAGCACTGCTCTGTTCTGCAACGTTTATTGTGCGTAAACTAGACGGTAGTCATATAGGATATTTTACAAAAATCATAAATGTGTTCTTTCTCTTTAATTAGTTTACTTACAAAACGATTAATAAATATCCACATAAATACGTTATAAATGTAACACCTGGTTATTTCGCTGATGTACTTAGATTCCACTCCTGATTGCACACCTCATAGTCGCAACAGAATAATGATATTGATTGCTGACTGGGAAAAACTGATTTCGTGGGGGGTTTTTTTGCTCATTGATCAGTGTCAGTACTGTCTTATATTATGCTAACCAGTGTAGAAAGGTCATGGAGTTCATAAGCACAAGGCCAGTGATGGATTGATAACACACAAGTATCAGAATGAACATCATGGGTTACAAATATCTATCTGAGGACTCAGACTTTAGTTGATTAAGTGTCAGTCAGCCCGAGTCCTGATGGAGACACTGTAGATGAAACAGCCAGGTGTTACTGTAAACCGCTGCATCATGCAGGTGGACAGCACAGCATTTATGTTCATTTCTAGAGAAGACCATATGATTGTGTTTTTATATCCATGTGAACTGTAACATCACCACCACTTAGAGCTTATCATAAACACTTCCGTCTAAGAGGAAAATCTGCACAATCCATTTAGCTCCAGGTTAAATTCTGTCACGACTGTTAGTGGTGTTTGCTAAGGCTTGCATCACAGCATTGCTCGTAATTAGGGTTAAAGATTTGAACAAACCCCAACACTAAGCAATAAACATCCCCACTCCGTGAAACACAGAAACACATACAGCAAAAAATATTTTTTTAATAATACTTATTCTCTAGGTATTTAAACAGTATTTTCTGAAAGATATATATATTTTTTTTTATTTTTTATTATTATTTTATATATTTAAAATGTATGTTGTAAACTGTGGCTTAAGGAAATATGTGGCTTAAGGAAATATATTTTTTAAATGTAAAATATTGTTCATTTAATCCTTAAAATATTAAATATAGCATGAAAAAATTTTTTGCTAAATGTGCATTTACATTTTGGGTAAATGCAAATTCTTTTTAAAAATATCCTTCAAACATTATAAATAAAGTAATTTGCATTTAAACAAAACAATGCCAAAATGCATGAAGATGTGTAAATAAGATGTAAATATATTTTAAAATCTATTAGCAATATACTGAAAAAAAAATTGGTTTGAAACAATTTTCACTCAGAAATTGCTAGTGAATTTCACAAACAGTTAGAAAGACATGGGCAAGTAAAATTTAAATTAAAAAAAATGTAATATTTTATTGTAAAACATGCTACAGTAATCTTTTTTTTAATCTTAAAAAAAATAATTTTACCAGTGTAGATTATTTTTTGTATATTTTGATTTTTTTTTTGTGGGAATGGATGATATTTGAAATCAAAATCAATGTGAGCTTTAAAATCAACAACAATTAGAGCGTATAAGGAAATATATTTTTTAAATGTAAAATATTGTTCATTTAATCCTTAAAATATTAAATATAGCATGAAAAAATTTTTTGCTAAATGTGCATTTACATTTTGGGTAAATGCAAATTCTTTTTAAAAATATCCTTCAAACATTATAAATAAAGTAATTTGCATTTAAACAAAACAATGCCAAAATGCATGAAGATGTGTAAATAAGATGTAAATATATTTTAAAATCTATTAGCAATATACTGAAAAAAAAATTGGTTTGAAACAATTTTCACTCAGAAATTGCTAGTGAATTTCACAAACAGTTAGAAAGACATGGGCAAGTAAAATTTAAATAAAAAAAATGTAATATTTTATTGTAAAACATGCTACAGTAATCTTTTTTTTAATCTTAAAAAAAATAATTTTACCAGTGTAGATTATTTTTTGTATATTTTGATTTTTTTTTTTGTGGGAATGGATGATATTTGAAATCAAAATCAATGTGAGATTTAAAATCAACAACAATTAGAGCGTATTGTCATACTGTCAATATTGTCATTGTGTCTGAGAAAATCTGCACAGCCTGTGTTTAGCCTCAGGTGAAAATCTTCTGAGATTTTTAGTTTCGCTTTTATTTTTTTACATATGTGAACAGAAACAGTCTTTATGTAAAATGAATCGGAATTGTTCATTTTACCAGTCTAGCTGCTTCCTAGTCCAGTTTGAGTCAATCCAAAGCTAGCTGTGCTAAAATTATGACCCAGATATCTAAACAGAAGAGCAGCATATTCACACAAGGGGTCAGTACCTCCTTACCAGACCACATCCACCCCATATGCCATTCTAGTTATTTAAAAAATCCCACATTTGACCACTTTTATCGTAAAATGATTCTCGAAAGGTTCCAGAAAATATTGCTTCCATTAACATCAACTATATTACTTTTATGTATTCATATCGTGAATAACACAGAGAAATTTTGTACTTTAGAGATTCGTCTTCACATTTATTACCACAGTTAACCAGTCCTCAGAGACAATAACCAAGCCAAATGACTTCATTAATTAGTAAGTTCAAGTATATACATGATCATCAGCATATTCCAAGCACAACCAGTGATTAAACACCCTGAGAATGTGTTTTAGAGTCCGTAGTATCTGCTGTGTGTGATTAATGTCTGATTTAGGAAACCCAAGTGCGCCTGCATGCCGTGTGTGTGTGTGTGTGTGTGTGTGTGTGTGTGTGTGTGTGAGTGAGTGTGTGTTTGTGTGTTTAGTCTCTCTTTAAGACTCCTGCAGGGTAGATGGAGAGCTGCAGCTCTTTGGACACGCCCCCCTCGCCTCTGATTGGCCGCAGACTGCTGCCTCCTTCCCCTCTTTCATTGGTATTCAGGTAGTACAGTCTTTGTGGAGGACAGAGGAGAGAGATAGGGCGAGAGGGAGAGATTTACAGAGGTAAAGGCGATACGAGCACAACAAGACGGGCGAGCGGAGAGGGACAGACGGGTTGAGGGAGGACAGTGAGAGAAAAAGAGACAGAAAGTGGGCTGACTGCAAGCTAAGGGCGATTTTGAGTTGGACGGAAGCAGGTGCCAAAGTGCCACAAGGGTCTGTGGGTTCTGGACGGTGAGTGGGACTTTGGATTTTAACCCAGCTGGAATCAGCCAAACCCTGGACTGACGGCTCTGCTGTCTTCCCTCACTGGAGGACGTCCTGCGGATACCCTACTGGCCTTTACTAGCGTGCGTGCGAGGGGTCTCTCTCCCCGTTGGGGAGGCGTGCCGCGCAGACGGACGGACCGCTGGCGTGTGTGTGTGTACGTGTCTCTGCGTGCGATTTCCCCCTATGTCCTTCTTTTTGTGGCTGTGTGCGCACCAGGGCCCAGTATATGGATAGAAGCTCTCTGTTTCAGCTCATACAAGAGCAGGTAAGCAGCAGCAGGTTGCTATGGTTACTGCATCCTCCTGTGCATCGACGTGCATGTGTGTGTGTGTGTGTGTGTGTGTGTGTTTCTAGGCCGTTGCGGAGCGAGATGGACATTCGGAATGAATGAGTACTGGAGTGTGTGTGTGTGTGTGTGTGTTTGAGAGGTCCTCATGTTCAGTCAGTGGCTGTTAGTGTAGTAGTAGTAGTAGTACACTCAGCACTGGTGCTCAACACATGCCTGATTGTGTATGCTAATATATGGAAATATGTGGATATATACACTTACATGCATTTTATTACCCTAAATCATATTTAAACACACAGTACTGTTTAAAAGGTTGGTGTTGTAAGAATTTTTTATGTTTTTTAAAGAAGTCTCTTATGCTCACCAAGGCTGCATTTATTTGATCAAAAAGAAATCAGTAATATTGTGAAATATTATTTCAATTTAAAATAACTATATTCTATTTGAATATATTTTAAAATGTAATTTATTCCTGTGATCAAAGCTGAATTTTCAGCATCATTACTCCAGTCTTCAGTGTCACATGATCTTCAGAAATCATTGTAATATACTGATCTGCTGCTCAAGAAACATTTCTTATTATTATCAATGCTGAAGACATTGTTGTGCTGCTTCATATTTTTGTGGAAATACATTTTTTTCAGGATTCTTTGATGAATAGAAAGTTAAAAAAGAACACCATTTATTTGTAATAGAAGTCTTTTGAAACATTATAAATATATTTACTGTCACTTTTGATCAATTTATTGCATCCTTGCAGAATAAAAGTATTAATTTCTTAAAAGAACCTTAATGACCCCAAACTTTGCGTTTATATTTCAATATCATATATTTTCCTGTTTTAACAGTGACTGGCAGATGTAAAATCCAAGAAAGTAGCAATGCAATGACTTCAATTCAATTTCAGATCAGATTAATTCAATTCAGTTCACTTCAGTTCACAAGTCAGGTTGACTCGTTTGCACGTTTAACAGTTCAGATCAACTCGATTCTATTTAGATCAGTTCAATTAAACACCATTATTGCTTTTGACAATATAGATAAATTAATTATAGATTAAATTCAGCTAATTTCACTTCCACTTAGATCAATTCAGATGCATTATTAGTATTGACCATATAAATTCAGCTTATTTCATTTAAATTAAGCTCAGTTCTGTTCAGTTCAATTCAGCTTTATTAGTCATTTTAATATGGATATTTCAGTTCAGCTTCAATGGTAATTTTAACAACACCAATTGTTTCTGAGTTGCTTCACTCACAAACCTCCAGTCAAACCGCTGGATGATTGGATCAGGAAAAACTCCTTCCGTGAAGAAGGAAACCTTGGTAACAGACTCAGAGGAGGAGACCCAAAAATACTCGAAAGTCATCATTGATCAGAAAAGAGCTGAGCACTTCAAGAGATGTAGTGAAAGCAACAGACACCAAGAAATACCAAAATATGTTTAGTCATGAAATGACGCATTATGTTTATAGCACATTGTTTAGTTTTTTTCTGTTACAGCTAGCAGGTTTGTGTGCAAACACTGCAAAAACGTGACTTATTTATACCGTCAGTCCGACCCGCCAGTTTGCAGAACGCATTACTCTCTACGTACAGAAGTAGAGATAGAAGGAGGTCAGTGAGAACTCTTCAGTAAGAGTTTTGCTGTTTGAACAGCTACATTTCAAGGAGGTGTTAACATTGAGATGCTCTGGTACTTCTTGCTGAGTTTTCTTGGCAAAACCAAAAACTCTTTCCAAGTCTGGCAGCTCACATCACATGAGTTCAAAAATTCATCAGGATTCAAACAACAGCTTGGTTTGAATACATATGCATGAGTATATGCTAATTAGTTTCATTCTTGAAGCAAAAGTGGCTCCGCAGACAGAAAATTCTGATTTTAAGTGCTTGAATAAAGGTCACGCTTTCTGGTCTCGGTTTATCAGTGGTTCGTATTGGTTATTTATTAGTTCAGTGTTTTCGACTGATTATTTCCAAACCTAAAGTAAATATTAAATAATAAATACACACACACACACACACAAACACACACATATGTGTGTATTTGCACGCTGTATTTTTAAAGCTGTGATTTGAAGATGCTGGAAGTCGTATTAGGCAATATGAGTGTGTGTGAATGTGTGTGTGTTTGATTTTGTTGTCTAATCTATGCTGATGCTGAGAGATTAGGTTGATTGATGGATAGGAAAGGCAATCGTTCAGTCGGAGGGGCAGAATTGATCTTTGCCTCAGGAGATGAGGGACACACACACACATCTGAGAGCCATCAGTTGAGTGTGTGTGTGTTTGTGTTGGTATGGTGTGAGTGTGTTTCGTATGTTTTCACATGCGCTGTGCTTCTGATTTTGCTTGTCCAGTAAGTGTGTTGTCAGACAGAAGCGATGCCTGACGGTTTGGTTGCGTCGTGTGGGTGTGTGTGTGTGTTAGTGTATGTATAGTGTGAATGTGCTGCAGCTACTGTGTGTGTGTAAAGGCAAGATGCTTAACCTTTCAGTTTATTATGATTCTTTTTTTCTGCTGTAGGAAGCAGTGCTGAGCTCAGACTATTTCTGGCTCTAATGCACACGCACACAGTTCACACGTGCAAACACACACACACGTTCAACGCTCTGTGTGATAAAGTGAATTAATGGAAGACAGCTCTAAATTACAAAATTACCCAGTGTCTCTTCTCACCGACTGGAGTTTAGTTAGTGGCGCTTGTGAAAGTAAGGATCGCTATTTCTCATAGTAAGTGTTAAAGGTTTGTTCAGGGTTTTCATAGTTTAAAAATTTATTTTTAAAAAGTTATTATAGTAAACTAAAAATTTGAATATTAAAAAAGTTTTCATTACTTGCAAATAAATGTTAACTGAATAAAAAAAACTTATTTTATTTTAGCTAGTTGCCAAAGCAACATTACTAATTTTTGTTTAGTTTAACTTGAAGTACCAAAATAACTAAAACTAATAAATAAAAATTAATAAAAAATATAGATATATTTAAAACCAAGTGAAAACTGAAAATATATATAAATAAAATATGATTAAAAATATTAACAAAAGCTATAAAAGTATATTAATAATACTAAAATAGCAATTATAAGTATTTTAAGTATTAAACTTTGAAAATCCCCTAGACTTGCATTGAACTTGGGATTTGAACCATATCTAGAAAATAGATATTTTCTTTTCGTTCTGATAACAAGAACTATCATATCAATGTTTTTCAATTCTGAGAATTAAATGAGCAATTAAAGCATCATATATACGAAAGTCAACCTTTTTAAAACTATTCTATTTGTTGTTACTTCCACAAAGCTATAGGATCTTGACTTTTGCACAGGTGCCGCTCACATTTTGATAAGAAAATGTAAGAATCTTGTTACATATACAGTGTGTGTGTGTGTGTGTGTGTGTGTGTAAGCAGTATTTGCTTTGGCTCAAGCTGTTCGGAGAGAAAGAGGGCAGTTGATAGTTGGATTGTCGCACCATATTTAGCATTATATTTGCATAAAATAGCAGCAGTTCGTCCTCTAAGACTCTTCCTCAGTGACCAGCTGCTGTGATAGTGTGCTGAGAAAAAGACCTTTCCTCTAGAGTTTCAAAAGAGATCTTTCCTGATCTTTTAACTAAGAATATTTTATAAAGCAAGGATGCATTAAATTGATCAAAAGTGACAGAAAAGACATTTATAATATTACAAAAGATTTCTGTTTCAAATAAAGGCTGTTCTTTTGAACTTTCTCCCAGAGAATCCTGAAAAACATGTATTACATTGATAAACAGAAATGTTTCTTGAGCAGCAAATCAGCATATTAGAATGATTTCTGAAGATCATGTGACACTGAAGACTGGAGTAATGATGCTGAAAATTCAGCTTTGATCACAGGAATAAATTACATTTTAAAAGATATTCAAGTCAAAAGCAGCTATTTTAAATTTTAATATTTCACAATATTTTACTGTATTTTTGATCAAATAAATGCAGCCTTTGTGAGCATAAGACACTCTAAAACATACAAATAAAAAAAAATCTTACCAGCCCTAAACTTTCAAAGTTGTGTGTGTGTATCATTGGATGCCATTTAAATACCTTGATATTTATCAAAGTACTCTAATATTTTCACCTGATACCATCATTGTACCATGGTACTGCGCCAGTACTGCTTTGTAAGGCTTGCCATGTAAACCTAAGATCATTTGTAATGTGAAAGCTGACATATTTGACTACTAACACCATATCATTGCTCAGATGTTTTTGGGCTCAGCCATATGGTGTGTATTTTCAGAAACCACGGCAACAGTAAGGCTCTTTTTAGCACACTTTAACATCGAAAGACAGGCGGAGAGAAACGGCTTTGTTCATGCTCATGTAATCAATGAACAGACCATCAGCTGCATTCAGACTCACACACAGTGACTAGACTGATGTTTCAGCACAGCTGGAACGGGAAACAGATTCTGTTCAGTCTCTGATGATAATGCCATGCTATTTACATGGTAGATCTGTTTTGTGTTTGGTGATTTGTGTACATGATCATGTGGTGCGAGGTGACAGAAGTAGATCAGTCGCTGGCGGTGTTCTCACACACACGCACACGTACACACACACACACACACACGGTGTCGGTCTTTCTCGGGGTGTCACATTGGTAATTTGTAACCATGGTGACACGGCAGCGGCTCTCCTCTGTGCTGAATGGCCTCACTAACTGATGCTTTCACTTCCATCCTTCTCTCCACATGTGTCTGCTGCTCTCATCCCTCCATCCTTCATCCTCCGCTCATTACCCAGAGCCCTCACATTCACCCGCTCGCCTTCCTCTTCCTCCTCCTCCTGTCTGTTTCTACATCATTACAGGCTAGCACATCATTTAGCAGTTTGTATGTGCTTCTTTCTTTCTTTCTTGCAGTCCATGCTTTCCTTCCTTCCATTTCCTTTCCTGTTCTTCTTACTTTCCATTCTTTTATTCCTTTTTCTCTGATTTCCCCTCCCTCCCTTCCATCCTTTCCTTTTCCTTTCCTTTCCTCTAATTTCCCTTTTTCCTTCCTTCCTTCTGTGTTTTCTTCCTTCCCATTCCTTTCCTCTAATTTTCCTTCCTTCTTTCCTTATTTTAATTCCTTCTTTCTTTCTGTTCTTCCATTGTTTTCTTTTCCTTTCCTTTAATTTCCTCGCATTTCTTTCCCATTTTTTCTTTTCTTTCCTTCCTTCTCACACCTTTCCACCCTGTTCTTCCTTCTCTGTCCTTTCATTTGGTCATTTCCCTTTCCTTTCATTCTTTCCTTATTCCCTCCATTCTTTCTTCCTTCCCTTTCCTTTAATTTCTGCTCATTTCCCTTCCTTTATTTCTTTTTTCCTCCCTTCAGTCCACCCATCTGTCTAGCCATCCTTCCACCTTTTCTCTTTTCTTTTCCTCCAATTTTCCTTCCTTCCTTATTTCCATTTCTTCCTTCACTTTCTTTTCATTTCCTCATTTCCTTCCTTCCTATCTTGTTCCCTTTCTTCCTTTCCTTCCTTTCCCTCTTTTACCCATATACCGCCTGAAATTTAAATGTAGCGTTCAGAAGTAATTCAGAGTAAACACAGACAGCAGAAATAACCGTGTGTGTCCTCCTGGGTTTTCTTTGCTGTTTTGGATCTGTTAGGGAAGTGCTTCAGGCAGTTACACACAAACTCACACAGTAATGTGAAATACTTACAGAATCTTTGATTTGGATCGGTTAGGGAAGTGCTTCAGGCTCATAGTTACACACAAACACACACACACAGTAATGTGAAATGCTTACAGAATCTTTGAGTGTGTGTGTGTGTGTGTGTGTGTGTGTGTGTGTGTGTGGCAGACAGATGAATTGTGCAGAATGACTATGTTTGAGTCACAACAGCGTTGCTTGAACTAACCGCGTGTGTGTCCATGTTAATGGGGTCATATCATGGAAAACAGGATTTTTCTTGCTCAAACAGCTTGATGTGCTATAAAGATATCTTGCTGTTATTCTGTTGTAGAACATTCTGTAGGTTTATTCATCACAGATTCACCCATGTACAGCAAAAAGATTCACTGCTCACCCACTGGGAGTCATTCCAGTTGCTCTTTAGCGTAATGTTGAATCATACTGTTTATCATTCAAATTTTCATCACGTGTGTTTGTAGAACAAATATACAAGCAAATGCAAAGCACATGTAGCATGTTACATTTATTTTGTGTGCTGTGTGTGTAATAAATGCATGCTTTTACTTAATGTTTACTGTATGTGAATGCATATAAACTAAACACTGGCTCGTTCTCTCTTTCTGTTGGTGTTCAGCTGGACCCAGAGCAGACTGGTTTTATAGCAGTGGAAAATTTCACCAGTCTAGCTGAGCACCATGAGTTACAGCTGGACCCCAGTAAACTGGAGATGCTGCTGGCGCTGGTAGAGAGCAACGAACACGGACACGTCTGCTACCAAGAACTCATAGAACTGGTGAGCCGCATGCAGTTGACCTCCAGGATTTTATTTATACGTCCACTTTTGAGGAAGATTGCACAAACTAGTCACTTACATCTACCTCTAAACAATGCGTTAAGTACGTGCTGACTACTCATGTCTAGTTACATGTCTTCAGTGCTAGTTACATATAACTCAATATGTGCTTAAACTGCATCCCAGTGCAGCTGTGTGACACCTGTAATGGCCAAATGTATGTGAAATTACATGAATATGACATCTGAGATGGTTTGCGTTCATTTGGAGTCATGCAATAGTCACAAATATACTAGATATAGACAACTGTAACTAAATGTTCTGCTTTGTTTTCTGAGCCACACTAATATTCAAAAGTGTAGGGTCAGTAAGATTTTGTTCTTATGCTCGCCAAGGCTGCATTTATTTAATCAGAAATACAGTAAAAACAGTAATAGTATGAAATATAATTTCAATTTAAAATAACTGTTTTCTATTTGAATATTTTTTTAAATGTAATTTATTGCTGTGATCAAAGCTGAATTTTCAGCATCGTTGCTTCAGTCTTCAGTGTCACATGATCCTTCAGAAATCGTTCCAATAACATTTCAATGTTGAAAACAGTTGTGCTGCTTCATATTTTTGTGGAAATTGTATTTTATTGTTTTGTTTTGTTTTATTTGTGTGTATGTGTGTTCATGCAACCGTATGGATCCCTTGATGCACAAATACTGAGTGACATTTGATTGTCATGCTATTTTTATGAGACCCGGAGCAGATGAATGCTGTTTGTGTGTGTGTGTGTGTGTGTGTGTGTGTGTTCATGAATGAAAAGCTCTTCCCACAGTCAGTAATAGACTGCAGGTCTCAGCTCTGTCATTTCTGATCCTCCATGTGCTTCCTTTACAAATCCAACCGTGTTCCTATCAGGACCTTCTTCACTCTCTCACACTTGATACGTGGGGGCATAAGTGTTTTCAGACAGTTGAATCAGTTTTGCCGCAGGCTCTTTTAATACACACACACACACACACACACGACTGCGGCGCTCTGTGTTGACAGTTCTGGTGCTCTAGCTAGACTCATTCATAGATGTGATACAAACCCTCATGTAATCACACCCTGATGCACGCACACGTATGCTGTACACTTTATGTGGCTGGAATTCAAGACATACGATGATTTAAAACCATGTTCTACAGGAAGAGAGACTGAGGCAAAGGCGGAGAGAAAGCTATGAATTTAAAAGGATTTGGGTGAAGTGTAAATCTGGGGCATGAGGGAGATGGAGGAATCAGGGAAAAGAAAAAAGAGAGTGTGAGAAATCCTGCATACATGGAGTAATCTGTAAGAAAGTCACAGTATTTAACTGGTCTGTGTGTGTGTGCTTTTTGAACAGGAATGAAAAATATAAGTATAAAACAAACTAAATTCATAACATTCATAACAAACATTTATTATAAACTCCAAGTCTAAACAAATTTATTTAAAGTGAGACTGTGCGCTATGTGCGTTTTTTTTCGTGCTTGACATTAATTGCATTATATTGCTTTGGAACATAAGTCGCAGCTCGTTTCAGGTGATAAAAAAAAATGCCACTTATATTCTTATATTTTTGCTGGAAATGCCACATTGATGAACTGTAAATCATCATGTGGTCGGTCTACTGTTGATGCATTTGTGTTATTATTTTTGTACTGAGCAGATTATTGTGGCTCAGATTTTGTTGGTGTATTAACATTATCATCATTTAATGATATATGGGTGGTTATGAACTGTGTAAAGGTTATGAAACACAGATGTACATATGTTAAATTACACAACTTCTCACTGTATCAACAGCTAATGAGATGTACATCTCTCTCTCTCTCTCTCTCTCTCTCTCTCTCTCTCTCTCTCTCTCTCTCTCTCTCAGCTGAACAGTAAACGTTCCAGTAGTTTCCGCCGAGCCATTGCAAATGGGCGTCGCACTCTGCAGCGAGAGATCCTATTGGATGAGACGGGGTTGGGCGTGTACAAGCGCTTCGTGCGCTACGTGGCCTATGAGATTCTGCCATGCGAGACGGACCGCCGATGGTACTTTCATCAGAGCAGACTCTGCCCTCCTCCTGTGTTCATGACCATCATTACCATTTTACAGGTACACCTCACTGAGCTCTGTACGGCTTTTTGCTCTTTATGTTGCTTTATGGGTTCTTTAAAGGCGTCCTATTGTGCTCTTATACAAAGTCTTGATTTTGTTTTTGAAAATTGATTTCTGTTAAATAAAATATCTCCTTTTGAATTGGACTTTGAGCTTTGTAACTTTGCAGATCTTTTTTATGCTCAAACAGCAACATTACAGACTAACTAAAGTTGAAAAAGTGAAAAAACATAATAGGACTCCTTTAAAACACCAGTAACTAGAGTGAACCATTCTTGGCAAAACTTTTTGGTTGTGGTTTTTTTAACCCTATAAAGCCTACTGTATATTTGATACACAAATTTCTAAGACCTCTAAATGATCAATATAATCAAAACTTTGCTTAAAAAACCTGTTGCACACAATCTACTACACACCTTCTGGCATCAGATTGATAGTTTATACTGAAACTTTTAGTATAACTGTACAAACGTCCATCTTCAGGTCGTGGTTCATGTGTCTTTTGCTGTGAAATCTTTACTGATTTTTATAAAGTAAACAAGAATAACTTTTATATTGTTAGTAATCAACACCTACTGAACTGAAGCAACTTAGGTTTACTTGATTATCCATACATCATTTATGAAAAATCATCTTAAAATGTATCAAATATGATCCATCCGGCTTTTGAGGAACGTTTATTTGTTTATTTATCTCTCAGTCATCATTGTATTGCATTGCATTTTATGTTTTAAATGAAAACTTCAGAGCTTTGATCATAAAACTAAGCATTAAAGTATAATCTTAAGACATTATTATGAGATTAAGAGTGACAACTGATATTTAAATGCATTTACTGCAAGTAGTCTGCTGTACTATTACAAATAATTCATTGATTTACATTACGAGCAGAATATCATCTTTCTGGCCAAATAAATCAGCATCTACACCAAATTGTATATTTTTGCTCAGTTTGGGCCTCTAAAACTGAGGTGAGCTCCATATTCTCACTATATCTTGCTATAGTAGTAGTATACTTTATTGTCCTCAAGAGGAAAATTGTTATGGACTACATGTTGCTGCAGACATACAATAAACATATAAAAACAAAATTAAATAAAATCATGATGACTATGTGAGCCATAAAAGCCTGATGTATCAATTATGATTCTCAACAAAAACCATATATGCAGACTTTTTAGTATTGTTTTCTTGTTTATTTTGTCTAAAGGTTCAATAAACTCTTCCATTTCCAAACATTAGATGTTTCTGACTATTGTTTGATATGTCAGGCTTTACAGGGTTAAGACTGTGTTTGTGTTTGTGTTCCAGATCATAGTGTTTATGTGTTACGGCGTGATGCTCAATAAATGGGTGTTGCAAACCTACCAGCCGGATTTCATGAAGAGTCCGCTGGTGTATCATCCCGGACACCGCGCTCAAATCTGGAGGTTCTTCAGCTATATGTTCATGCATGTTGGGTAAGAACTTTGCGCAGTGATTGACAGGCCCGGATTAACAAGCTCCTCCTAAACCCTTGTTTAGATCACCAGTTATAAATAACAAGTGAGCATCAGCTGTAGTGCACTTGGTTAATTATGCGACTTGTTCTTCGAATAAACTGTGTGCCTACATGTTTAGAAACTGAGTTTTACAAGCTGGATGTGTGTGTGTGTGCAGGTTAGAGCAGTTGGGTTTCAACGCTCTTCTCCAGCTGATGATTGGAGTTCCTCTGGAGATGGTTCATGGGGTCCTGAGGATCAGTCTGCTGTATATGGCAGGAGTCGTCGCTGGTGAGTTAGTGCGTGTGTGTCCGCATACAGCTGGCCATCCTTGTACTGTGACAAGTTCACCAGGAGAATGTGCTCATATTTATGATGGACATGTCACCAGTGGTCAGTGACCTAATCAATAATCTCTGAATTATTCACACACACACACAAACACACCCACCATCTCTTTCTCGTCACATACACACCAAAGCGGAGCCTGTGTGTAGTGTAGTAGAATACATTTACATTTTAATGCTAGTTATCTTGCTCTTCTTATTATAAAACAGAGATATATATTGTCCAATATCAGGGCTATTCCATTCCTAGAGGGCCACATCCATAAGAGTTTCACGCCAACTAATATATAGATATATACAGTGGGCACGGAAAGTATTCAGACCCCCTTAAATTTTGATTATTTTCATACCATTTCCATACATTACATTTTCTGTGTGTGTGTGTGTGTGTGTGTGTGTGTAAAATAGGAGATATACAGGTGATATACAGTGCAGTTAAATTTGAACTACATTTTGCTGAATTCAGAGCTTAATCAAACATACTTGTCTGTAATTATTAAATAATCCAGTCCAGGAACAGAATCAAATAGCCGTGATGTAGTATAATACAGCTTAACTATCGCAAATGACATGTACAGAAGTATGATGAAATGAAATAAACACTTATGTTGTATAACATACTACATACACCAACACACATGTTGCAACATCAGTGTTTTGACATACTGTAAGAGCAAGTGTCCATGCTGAGGACAGAACGTGAGATGGAAATTAAAGGAAGGAGAGAATAGAGTATGCAAGAACAGATAAGAGAAAATTAGCAGATTCATAGAGACTATATGTGAGAAAGAGATGAAAAGACAAGGAAAATGGGTGGAGGACGTGCTAGAGGAATGAGTATTGAGAAAATGTAACATAAAAAAAGAGCAGAATGATAAAGACGGTGGTGGAGTAAGAGTGCTGAGCGCAGCACAGCTCAGTGTGTAACGCACCGTATAGGCGATCTGTCACACACACACAGAGGATATGCCAATATTCAGTTATCTCACCTGCATGCATGCATGTTCGCTTTCCTATGAGCTCTTAGTTTAGAGCTGTACTCAGTGTGTTTTGTGCCACTGTGGGTTTGAATGTTCTGTATTAAATTTAAGTCCACTTGGGGTGGCCACCTAACGACCACCCAGAACACCTTAGCAACCACATAGCAATGTCCTACTAACCACTCAGAACACCCTGACATCATGGTGGCAATTTCTGCACAGGCAAATTGCAGTTATTTTCCTCAAAAAAAAGAAAAAAGGTAGTTTCTATAGTACATGTATAGATTACAGCACAGAGCAGCTCTGTATCCTGACAACTATTAATTACCTTTATTATATTCCTTAAATGGGTCAGCAGTGGTGATGGCAGTAGAACAGAAATACAGGTCAGGAGGGGTTTATATGCACATATATTGCGCATGTCATTTTAATGTGTTAATTTTTAGTACAGTGCCTTGCGAAAATATTCATACCCCTTCACATTTTGTTAAGTTGCTGCCTTATGCTAAACTGCTTCAAATTACTTTTTTCCCACATCAATCTACACTCCATACACCATAATGGTAAAGCAAAAAACAGGTTTTTAACATCTTTGCAAATTTATTAAAAATAAAAAACTTAAATGATTCCATTGCATAAGCATTCATACCCTTATCTGGTACAGTTGAAATTCATATTGCTTGTAGATATTACTACACTTCGAGTGAAGTTAACCTGTGGCAAATTCAATTGAATGGGTATGGTTTGGAAAGGCACACACGTCTTAATAAAAGGTCTAACAGCTGATAATGCATATCAGAGCAAAAACCAAGCCCTGAGGTCAAAAGAACAGCCTGTAGAGCTCAGAAACAGGTTTGCAATGGAAGAAGTTTGAAACAACCAGGACTCTTCCTAGAGCTGGCCTCCTGGCCAAACTGAGCAGTTGATGGAAAAGGGTCTTGGTTAGTGTGGTGACCTGGTGGTGACCAGAACCTGATGGTCACTCTAGTTGAGCTCCATGATCATATGCAAATATTTCTGGAGAAACTTGAAAATGTGCGTCTGCCCCCATCCAACCTGACAGAGCTTGAGAGGTGAAGAGGTGAGGAGAAGAATGTCGCATCAAACCAAAAAGACTTGAGACCGTAAAGGTGCTTCAGCGAAATATTTAGTTAAGGGTATGAATACTTATGCAATGTACCTATTTCAGTTTTTTTTTATTTTTAATAAATTTACGAAGTTCTGACAATTCTGTTTTTGCTTTGTCATTATGGTGTATGGAGTGTAGATTGATGTGGAAAAAAAGTAATTTAAAGCAGATTAACATAAGGCAGCAACATAACAAAATGTGAAAAAATGAATGGGGTATGAATACTTTCGCAAGGCACTGTATTATATAAAAAAAATAACACAATAAAGACTAAACCATGGCTCCTGAGCTGTATGTAAATTCTGTCATTTAAAATAAAGAGAGTTACAAGTTCAACTCTCTAACCATTAGGCCACGACTGCCACAACTTATATATGTAATCAAATGCATATTTTAATGCAAATCAAATTTGAGTAAAATTTAAACACCTCTTTTTTACCTGCAATAATATTGCAGGTATGGTGGATTACCTGGATTCTTGCTGAACCAATATCAGAGCGTAACAATTGCTGCGTCTCGCTGAGTTCTGCTCACAGCGAAGGAGAAACTGTTCTATGGTGCGGCTAAATGGTGCTGAATATTGGGATTATAACACCTTGTCCTATTATGCAAACTAACATTCTTCCTGATTTATTAATAAACTACCTGTGGGGAAAAAATAAGTTAAATTAAATTAAGTTAAAAATAAAATGAATACATTCAATAAAGTTAATTATAATTAAATGTAATTGAAATTACATTTATTAAATAGATTTATTAAATTAAATGAAGAAATTAAATAAAATTAAATGTATTAAATGTATTAAAGGAATCAATTCAATAAATTAAATATATTATAAAAGATATTATATAAAAAAATTAAATTAATAAATATAATCAAATAAATTAAATACAATTAAATTTATTAAATAATGTATTAAATTAAACATAATAATATATTTAAATTAAAACTGAAATTTAATTACATTTATTTTATTACATTTAAAAATTCGGAATTTAAAAAAATATATAAAACTTATAAAACTTAAATTTAGGCTTTATTAAATAATTTTTTAAGGCAAGTAAGACAGTTAGACACTCTCTATTAAACTTCAAATAATTCGAAAAACAGGCTCTATGCGGGGACCCCCTCATGTCATTATGAGCCAATTACTTTATGATTAAATTTGCCTATCAAGAGCAATTTTACTCGAGAGGCTTTCTGAAATCAACAAACGTACAGTGTGTACACAAGCAAGCTTTTTAATTTTGCACAAAGGTCTTTACACAGAATGAGAGTCTCAGGAAACAATGTATCACACACTAGAATTTCGAATGTATCGATTCACATGATGTCATAATTCTGCATGGAGTCACTTCTTGTGGGCGGGGCTTTTGCAGAACAACATATATCAAATAGTCCCACTCTTTGTCTAAACCGCGTCTCTTTGCGTGTCTCCTCAGGTTCTCTGACGGTGTCCATCACAGATATGCGCGCTCCGGTGGTGGGCGGATCCGGCGGGGTCTATGCACTCTGCTCAGCACATCTCGCCAACGTTGTCATGGTAACCAAAACTAACTGCTGCCATGGTGACTTCTGTCAGAATGAATGAAAAGGGGAATATCAGGCAGAGGAATAGAGAAACGCAGACGGATGAATCTCTCCGGATGCTTTATACTGCGGCTTCCCTAAAGATCAAAGAGTCTCTAATCACTCGCACACAGACAGACACAAACAGACCTCGGAGAGTCAGAAAGTCTCTTCAGCGTCTGCTGTGTGCTGATGGATGCGTCTCGACTCTCCCTCTTCCCTCATACACACGTTGTTATGGGAATATAAGTGCCTTTTAGTTTGTGTGAGTGGAATTTAAGGAATGTTCTGGTGGAGCTCTATGATGTCATCAGTGACACGCTGTCAGTCACCACAGGAAATCATTTTCATTTGTTCCTCAAGCAAAAATCCACCTTTAAAGAGGTGTAGTTCCACCTCTAGGGGGTGATTTAGAAACTTTACTGCTCAAATAACATTTTTTATACATAAGAATCAATATAAGCATGAAGTCAACATGAAATCAAAATTGACGTTTCTGGTCTTATTGGGAGCAAATCATCAGTGCGCGTGTAGCCAAATAGCTATTAATCATTGTTTTGGTCCATTATAGGAACATTTTCGCTTACGAGCTGCTCGGGGTACAGATCCCGCCCCCTCCCTGATGACACGCCCCCTCCCGGTGGCCCCCAAAAGCCACGCCCCCTGTCCGACACATGTCCGACCTCAATCTACTCCGCTCGACCAGCAGCGGAGACACGGACGTAAAAACCGGAAGGAAGGGTTTTAGCAGAGTGAACCGAAAACACATTCTCACATTCCATACAGAAGCAGCGAACATAAACAGCGTGGTATTTTTAATGAACACTCGGAGGCAGCTCAAGGGTCCGGCGAGCTTATTTGAACAGACCGTCAGTACGTCGTACACTAGAAACATGCACACACATGCACATACACACACGTACATCAGATTTGTTGTGTATTTCAGCCCGGGGCTCATTCATGATGCCTTTCTGTATTGTTTTGATTTGACAGCCTCTTCTAAGCCTGTTATGCATTGCAGATACCATCTGTAGTAGATGAAACGCTGTCACTTGAACCAGGAATCTCGCTGACTAAAACAAAGCCTTACGCTTGAAGACACGGCGAGGTAGTCCTCAGTGAGGTAGGGGGTTGATGTCGATGTCATTCGATGCTGTTTGTTTTTGGGTAATTACAGATTGGATTGGGTGAAACGAGGTAAAACTGGTTTCAAAGGGTAGAAAGTAGGTTTCTGAAGCTGTTTCTTGCTTTACTTTGTTCCTCAGCTGTACACACACAGAAACAGAAACATTAGCTCTGTTCCAAATCATAGTGGGCTTTCTGTGAAAGCAGCATGCTATAGGTGTGCATTATGTTGCCTTCTAAGATAACTACTTTTTGCCAAATATGAACACAGAATTTTCAAAAAGGAATCACAGAATGTATTGCAACAAGCTCCAAAAATCCATAAAATCCAAAATGTTTTATAAATAATATATACCACCGTTCAAAAGTTTTGGGTTGGTAAGATTTCTTTTTAATGTTATTGAAAGAAGTCTCTTATTCTCACCAAGGTTGCATTTATTTGATAAAAATACAGTAAAAATATGAAATATTATTACAGTTTAAAACAACTACCGGTATTTTCTATGTGAATATATTATAAAATGTAATTTATTTCTGTGATCAAAGCTGAATTTTCAGCATCATTACTCCAGTCTTCAGTGTCACATGATCTTCAGAAATCATTCTAATATGCTGATTTGCTGCTGAAGAAACATTTCTGATTATTAGCAATGTTGAACACAGTTTTTGCTGCCTAATATTTCTGTGGAAACCATGATATATTTTTTTCAAGATTTTTTGATGAATAGAAAGTTAAAAAAAAAACAGCATTTATTCAACTTTTTAAATGTTTTACTGTTATTTTTGATCAATCTAATGCATTCTTGCTGAATAGTTTTAATTTAATTTAATTTTACTAGTTGTACTTTTCCCAAACTGTAATGCCAGACTAAAATATGTGAAATCGAGTGCAACATTTTGAAATATGATAGGCAACCTTTCATTGCATCTAAATGTTGTACGACTTGTCAGCATTTAAGCTCGCATTCTCCGGTGATTTATACAATTAAAAATTTAAAATGCATCTTCATATTTTTTCTTAACACTGCATTTGTAACTTAAGTAACATCATTTTATTGACATTAGTAACTGTAATCAAATTACATAAATTCAAAATGTAATGCATTACATTACTGCGTTATCAGGAAAAGTACAGTACAGTACAGTAACGCCAACTCTGCTAGTAAACAACACTAGAGCTCATTTGGTACGGAACAGAGTGAATGTCTGACTATGGAAGCCCATTTCCGCCACCGAATAAAAAATAAACTAAAAGGTTATTGCGACTTTTTATCTCACAATTCTGACTTTTTTTCACAGAATTGCGTGATATAAACTCACAATTGTGAGTTATAAAGTCAGAATTGCGAGATAAAAACTCGCAATTCTGACTTTTTTTCTCGCAATTGCGAGTTTATATCTCGCAATTCTGACTTTTTTTCTCATAATTCTGACTTTATTTCTCAGAATTGCGACTTAATGTCTTGCAATTGCGAGTTTATATCACGCAATTCTGACTTTATTTCTCAGAATTGCGAGTTTATATCTCACAATTATGAGAAAAAAGTCAGAATTGTGAGATAAAAAGTCGCAATTACCTTTTTTATTTTTTATTCAGTGGCGGAAACGGGCTTCCATATCTGACCCTTCATCTTGACCTTTGAAAATATTTCCAGTGAACACACAAACACAAGCCAGTGAGAGAGTCAATATTTCTGTGCCACACACTAATGATTACTTTAGTATTGCTGTGCAGATTGCAGTTGTTATGGTAACTGCCGTAACGTGATTAAAAATGCTTTCGACATAGAAACGAGTGTCACGACCACCAATACCGAATGTTTTGCAACTCCAGTCGTGTCTGCAAACATTTTCAGTGAAGGTCGTCTTAATGTTAATAATGATTATGACTGGGTTTAGATGAAGATTTACTTGATAAATGAAAAAATACAACTCAAAATTCTCAAGACAAGACTGCAAAAGATGAGAAAATGGAGTATTTTATGACCCTTAACTCTTAAGACCAAGCAAATAATTACAAAATTCAGTAGTGCCAAGTTATCATTCGCTAAGCTGCTAAAAGATAATTAAAGGGAATTAATTAAATCGCTAAAGGAAAGATGTGTATAAGATTGCTGTTCTGAGATGATTTCTTTTCATTTTCGAAAAGCTCGACCGTGTGTGTGTTTAATGTTGTGGATTTTTATGCCATAGTCCTATATTTATATTTATTCAGAGTGGCTATCAGTGTTGGATTGTGGCGTCTGTAAAGATTGTCTTAAACTGAGGGATGTGATGATGATGATGATGATGATGATAATGATGATGATACAAAACTCGCAATTGAATGCATTTAGATCCACAGAAACAGAAAGTGCTGGAAGCAAAGCAAAGAATATTAACAATACAAAATGTTTAATTAATAAATTCAGCTGTGGCCAAAGGTCACGCTTATGTAACACAACACATTAATGCTTTCCAGGAACATGTGAGCCATCTGAATATTTTAAAGTCAGCATGAAACTGCACTCGTGACCTGTTTTACTGCCACAATGTGACATATTTTGCAGGTAAAAAGGATATTTGAGGAGAGTTGGCAAGAAACAATGGCTTGGTGAAGACATTTCAGTAGTAATAAAGTAAATAATGTCAATTTTGGCTTCACATTGACTTTAAATGTTCTGATCCAGCATCCAAAAAAGTGGAATTTATAGAGTTCCTGTAATATCCAGCTGGCTGGCACTTTTAGACAGGTGAAAAAATGAAACGCTGATGAATATTTATCAGACACGCATATAAACAGTGAGAAAGAGAGAGGGAAATGTTATTTAAAAAAAAAGCTAAAAGCTGTATTGGGATATGTGATAGAAGAAAATGAGGTGAGCAAGACGGGACAAATAGCTGATAAAATGAAGGAAAATGGAGAGAGAGCAGTGAATGATGGATCCATTATTTTTTTTTGAACACTCATCAAATGGATGCTGGAAGTAGACGGGACAAATAGCTGATAAAATGAAGGAAAATGGAGAGAGAGAAGTGAATGATGGATCCATTATTTTTTTTTGAACACTCATCAAATGGATGCTGGAAGTGTGTGTGTGTGTGTGTTAAACATGCTTTAATGTGCTCTATGACCGTTGTTGGTTATCAGACTGTTATAAGCACACATACTGTAGTCTGTGTGTGTATTTAAGCGGTACGTGAGTGTGGGAAACACTCAACCTCGGTCTAAAATTGGGTTGTGTTCGGAGTGGAATACTAGCAAGCGTCCTGCATACTTTGCTGTTTATACTGTATACTGCCTACTATTTTTCAAAAATATTATGTGGAACAGTATGCATTTTGAAACTCTAAACGTTTCTAACAGTAGTATACAAGATGATCATGTGACATCATTGATTAATTCAGCGAATGGGATCTATTTATCATATTTGACTTTTAGCATTCTGATCAAATAATAAGACAAACTAAAAGTTAAGAGTTGATCATGTGGTTAATTTATTTTCAGAACTGTTATTTTAGTATTATTTATATACTATTATAGTATTTATGAATATTTTGAAATAGCTTTTTTTTATATTTTCAGTTTTAATTTTAAGTTCTAATTATTACATTTTTTGTTATTTATAGTTTTTGTCGTTTTTATTCGTTTATATATATATATATGGTATATTTTATAGCTTTTGAGTTATTTTATGTACTTGTCATTTTTTTTAAATATTTATATTTTTTTATTTCAGTTTTAGCTTTAGTAATTTTAGTACTTCAACTTATTTTATTTCAGTTAGTTGCCAAGGCAACATTTTTAATATACTTTTAAGTTTTTTTTTTACTCATAATTTTTAAGTTTGTCTTTTTTATATAAATATTTCTATATAGCTTAATTTTTTCCCCAGTTTTATTTCCGTCGTTTTAGCATCTTTAGCAAAAACGTCGGTTTTTCATCTAATATTTACAAATTTTTTATATTAGCTTTATTTCAATTTACTAAAACACATTTTAATAGTTTTAGTTAATAACAACACTGTTTCAGAATGCAAGGTCGAGCGCATTGCATCATGGGATACGTTTTTTTTTACATAGTGTGCTCTGTTGTATGCTGCATATTTTGTCAAATATTACCGATAAGTCATCCACATATGCCATTTATACTAAACGTTTGCATAATGTGCCAGTATGCATACTGCAAAACTAGTATGGTAGTATGCCACTCCAAACAAACCCTGGGTGAAGAAGTGTACTCAATCAATCCTGGGAACAAACCTATTTACCAAGGACCTCTCCCTTAATCCCGCCCACTTTACATCCCAGCCAATAGCTGCTCTCGAATCTCATGCTTAACATCAGTAGCTACCAATCAGCACAGATCACGGTGTCGTGTGTTTATTTTCTCCATGATGTTGTAGGTGTAGGTCGCAAGAGTGTTGCTTTGAGCTTGAGTGAGATCCTCTGTGTCGCCACCACAACTCTAGTTCTACTGAGAATCCAATCCTAGTCCATTTACAGATTTCAAAATGGTGCCAAAAGACGAGAGACGACGACTCATTGCTGTAAAAGATTGTTTACAAAAAAAAGAAGTTAAAACTGAAAATATACTATAAGGCTAATAGTTTTCTCTGGATCAGATGATGATAAAAAAAGAGAAGTAAATAATGATAGTTTCTATCAAATTCTTTATCATTTCATGATGTACTGTACTTCTGAAATATTGGGACCTGAGGCAGTTTTGTTTTTGTAATTTTATTTTGTATTGTTTTGTGTTTGCTTTAATTTCTCAGCTGTATGAAATAAAGACCATACTGTGAGGAGACACGTGTGTGTGTGTGTGTGTGTGTGTGTGTGTGTGTGTCAGTGTCAGTGCCCGCAATACTTTTCACAGAAGAGGTACAAAGTATGAACATTTTTGTTTCTTATAAATTAAAGAAAATAAAAAAAATTTAATTAAATGTATTTTTTAATTATTATTATTATTTTTTACAAATTACCCATGCAGTAGCAGCAGTATAAATTTATGGTAATTAAAATTAATCATTACATTTTATTTATATGTACTTTGTATACATCAGCATTGAAAACAGTTGCTGCGAAACATTTTTTGTCCAGATTTTTTTAAGAATAGAAAGTTCAAAAGAACAGCATTTATTTGAAACAGAAATCTTTTGTATCATTTTAAATGTCTTTAATGCATCCTTGCTGAATAAAAGTATCAGTTTCTTTTTTTCTTACCCCATATCATATACCCTTAAACTACTAAAAGCTTGGGGTATCACAGTTTAAAAATATTAAATGATAGAAAAATATGAAGCAGCACAACTGTTTTCAACACTGATAATAATCAGAAATATTTCTTGAGCAGCAAATCAGAATATTAGAATGATTTCTGAAGAATCACGTGACACTGAAGACTGTAAATTCAGCTTTATGTCACAGGAATAAACTACATTTTAAAATATATTAAAATATAAATTAAAAAAAGAATAATATTTAGATATTTTACAGTTTTTGCTGTATTTTTGGTCAAATAAATGCAGCCTTGGTGAGCAGAAGAGTAAAAAAAAAAATCCTAATTATTCCAAACACTTGAAAAAAAACATTTACACAGTTTTTACAACTTTGTTTCATTATTACAACAAGTTTTATTGTTTTATTAAAACATTTATACATAAACAATTACAAATTCAGAAAAGCAACTGTGAAATTGCAAAAGTGCATTTCATGATCTTGGAGTAATACCTCAAAAATACATACTTTTGCAAAGGAATGTGTTGAAATCGCCCTCCGGATAAATACTCAAATGCGGTGAAGTGCTGCTCTTTAAGATCTCTCAGTCTTCTGTCTCTTCGAGGGCTCTTCATCCGCCGTCTTCCTCTTCTCTGGCTTCTGATTGGCCACTGTGTGTGTTGCATCCATCAGACTGAACTCCTGTAATAATGAGGGCTGAATCTGATTGGCCACGGCCCAGGCCCATAAACACTGCTCCACCCTGTGAGGAGTCCAGTCCTGCCGGCCGTCCACTGAGACAGCAGACAGCAGGGTCAGATCCCGATGAAGAGCGCTTTAGACTCAACATGCATCTTAAATCTCTTACCTGTATTAAGCTGGGATGTTTTGTTCAGTATTTTCTGGAGGAAAAGTGCATAATGTTTGGCCGTGTACTCGACCGGTCTGAGCTCAGCGATGCTCTCCACAGCTTCATCAGCCATGAAGGCCACTTCACCCGGAGCTCCTGCCACCAGCACGGCTGATAGAGACAGATTGGATGCATATTAATACAATCATTGCATGCATGTGTGATTTGATGGGTGTGTGTGTGTACCTGATGCCGTCGCAGGCCCGACACCTTTGAGTTTGCACAGCTCTGTAATCGCCGCTTGGACGTCGGGCATCAAACCGAAAGCTTTGCTGGTGGAGCTTCGAACCGCCTCCTCGCTGTTTGAGCCAATCAGCTGCTGCAAACGAGGCCTGAACTTGGAGAGAGTATCCATCATCAGTCATCAAAGAGAGAAACACACTGTCATACTGTCGTATCTGTGTGCACGCAACTGATCTGTTGTCGTAAGAGGGAACATCACCGCATGCAACCAATGAGCCACTCGCCTCTTTCCAGCATCATGTTTCTTGTTAATTACGCAGGGTGTGTGAATCTATTTCTGTTGCGCTTACAGTCAGTTTCCACTCCATGATGTTGACGAGCTCAGTGTGTGTGAGGGAACTGAGATCGCTGCCGGCAGCTCCTCCTGAAACCTGACAGAAGACAGAGACTGTCATTAAGATTCACTACATCTACAATTCTATTCTATTCTGATGCAACTACAATAAAAGACATTTTAGGTGTGTGCTTGTGAGAATGCAAATCTTTTTTTTTTTTTCATCTGTAACTGTTCATCTGAGTATTTCAATTGTGGTCCACATCAAATACAGGGCAATGCTAGAAAAGCTCTATTTAAGGTTGTGTCATGTTAATTGCATGTTAACTGCTAATTGTGATAAGTAGGCAAAAACGAATGAATGAATTAATTAAAATAAAATTAATGCATCTATATAATTTACAAGTATTTTAATGTTTATAATTTCATTTATTATTTTAAATGTATATATTTTGGTAATTTATATTTAAATTTATATGATTATTAATATATAAATTCATATTAAATTATATTCTGATGTGTTTTAAGTGTTTTTAGGTGAGCCAGTGCTAGTGAAGCTGCATTTAAGCTTGTGTCAAATTGCAAGTTAAAGCTAATTATGAGTAGGCAAAAATTATTAATTAAAAAGATCTAGTTAAATGTATATAATTTATGATTTAACTATTTCAAATTATATAATTATTTTAAATGTATATGTTTTAGTATTATAGTATTTAGCGGTGTAATTTAGGATTATATAAATTATATGATCTATAATTATTTTAAATGCATATACTTTACTATTTAGATTTGTACATTTATGATTATTAATATATTAATTCATATTCAATTCTGTTCTGACGCAACAACTAAAATGAACATAAAAACAACATTCAGCAAAATGCTCAATTAAAATGCTACAATTATTACAATAATTGTACATTTTTATATTTAATTTTATAATTATTTATTTTAAATGTATATATTTATATGATTATTAATATATTAATACTGTAATGAACATAAAAATCACAGCGATACAGTCTCTCATTCACAGACATGACTGTCCGAGAGCGAGAGAGAGAGTTTACAACACTTACAAACAATTGAAGCAAGCGAAACAGCAGCATATTATCATACCAGGATGTGTTATGATAAATATCTCTCCTGATCTGCTGCGCGCCACGCGACGGGAGGTGACGTCAGCCGCGAGCGTAAACAATGATTCTACATCCGCTTCTCCTGAACGGACACGTTTGTTTTTAAAAGGGTAAGTTCTGCGCGGTTATTTCACTAATATCTAAACTCATATTACAGTTGAACATTCATGCTCGGAAACGTGATAAGCTGTATTATGGACAGTTATTACTGCTGAACTGAGCTGTTTTAAAGCAGGTTTGTTGTGGCACGTGACTGAAACACTAACTTCCAGCACATATAATAATATTCCAGGCATAAGAGGATACAGCTGTAATATCATTGTGTTGCAAAATATATGACATTTTAAGCACCAATCCGCCAGTATGCTTAAGGTGAATATGAATTGTTCCAAACCCTTATATAAAATCATTGCATTTAATTGGACTTTCTGTGCATTACAATAGCAGACAAAACACTGCGCTCATTTTCTTAATGATAATAAGGAAATAATATTTATAAACCCAAATTGCAGGCCGACAGCAGATACAATTTACACAGCAGAGGTGTAAAGAGCACCTGAAAACCATACTCGAGTAAACCTTACAGTGAAAATGACTCCATTAGAAGTTACAAGTCACCAATTACCAAACGACTTGAGTAAAGAGTATCTGATTTTATCAGTACTTAAGTATTTAACTTGCACTAAATATAGGCTCAAAGATGCACTAGTCAAAGAGACATGAGGAGAGCAATCATATATTTCTAAAACCAAAATAAAACTGAACACCTCAAAAAAAATCCTTCAAAAAGGTCTCTTCATTATAACGGATAAAAAAAATGATGTTAAGTAACTTTATTTGTTTATTGAACTTTTACAATAATAAGAATACAGTATAAGAATACAGGAGAATAGTGAAAAAATAATGTTAAGTAAAATTCAAAGTCCATGCATTCTTGCACTGGATGACCTTGTTTCAGCCTCATTGCCATCGCTAAGGAACTCGCATTCACGTAAATCAGCCTAAGTTTGTGTGAGTAAGGGCAAAACACACGAGATCTAGTACCTTCAGTGTCCTGTAGATGCGATATCACTTCTTTTGTAGCAGAAATAAACTGCGGCAGAAAAAGCTAGGTGCCATGCAAAATGCAAACACTCATTACAAATGTAGTGGAGTAAGAGTAAAAGTTGCTAATATCTTTGATACTCGGTAAAACAGAGTATCCAAAACGATACTCAAGTACAGTAATTAATTACATTTACTCAAATACTTTACACCACTGAATAATACATATAATAATAGCAACAATATCTGTTGTGTCTATATTGTATCTATCTGTCTATCTATAGACAATAATAATAATAATATTAATAATAAACTATATATCACTTTTATTTCACTTTTCATATGTTCTCTGATGTTCTGTTGTATTATTGATATGGCTTCTCTGCTGTCTTGTTTCTGTTTTGCAGGTCGGTGTGTAATTTCGTATGAAGATGTGAGCGAGAAACACAGACGGTGAGATGAAGAAACAAAAACAAAGAAGAGCTGTGTTGCAAAAGCATTAATATTCCCTTAGATGTTTGTCCATTTACCACAACTAAACTATTTGGAAAAACATCCAGTGATTTACTCATTCGAATACAATCTATAGTGAATCATATGATTATTCATATTTGATGTGACTGGGAAATTGTCAGCTCATTAATGGAATGTGTTTGCTGTTTCTGCCCTCTTTTCCCTATAGGGAAATATTGGTGTAGAGTCTGTGAATAAGCAAGGTTTTTTTTTTCTCAACAGAACAGGCTTTGGACACAAAGCGTACGTCTGAACATGTCGCTTTATTCTTATGTTTTTAAATTTATTGTTTGTGATAATAATGCTCATAACATCGCCACCATGAATCTGTCCTCCACCTGCTGGCCAGAGAAGGAACTGCAGCAGCATCTCTCTCATCTTTCTTTGTGTTTCCCCCTCTGTTTGCTCTGTTTCTCTTGATTTTGCAGCTTGAGATGGAGAAGATGAGCAGGGTCAGCACCATCGGTGGCCGTACCGTGTTTTGTCACCTGGATGCACCTGCCAACGCCATCAGTGTGTGTCGGGATGCTACGCAGGTGAAAATGAGATGAAAATGATATTCACAACGCAAGCCAAAGTGCCCAATTTGATTTTTCTACTCAAAGCTATTTTTTCTGTTATGGTTCACTAGGCAAAAATATATAATATATATTTTTTATATAATTTAACAATCTTTTAATTAGTGTAATTTATGAATAAATGTACTTCTTATTATTTTAAATGTATATATTTTGGTAATTTATGTGATTATTAATATGTAAATCAATATTCGGTCTGTCGATGACTAATATCAATAAATAATAATTAAAAATTCATTCTAAATAATAAATATCCATATTTAAAATACCGTTTTTAGCTACAGTTAATATGTGATTGACCACAACTTGTTTCTGGTGGTGTTTGCTGGGTGAAATATTTTAATTTGTATAATTTATTATTAAATTGATTTATTATTATTATAATTTATTATATATTTTTATTATTTATATGATTATTAATTTGTAAGTTAATATTCAATCAGTCAGTGATTAATATCAATAATTCATTAAATAATTATTTGTCAGTAATGAATATAGCCACTGCTGCTGACATGGCGTTAAATCATAAATAAATCATAAATAATATATGATTGTTAATATGTATATTAATATTCAGTCTGTCAATAGACAGTTAACTTGTGATTGATCACTGATTAATATCAATAATTCATTAAATAATTATTTGTCAGTAATAAATATTCACATTCAAAATACCAGTTTTGGGTCATGTTATTAGATGCAGTTAATTTGTGATTGTTCTCAAGGGTGACCAGGTGGTGTTTACTGTACAAAATATTTTTTTTTAATTAATTTATATATTTATATATTTACATGTCTATATTCATATAATTTATATTATAAATAAATATATTTAATATATAAGCATAACATATTTTTCTGAAATATATACATGCATGTGTGTGTACTTATATATTCATAATAAAACACAGTACACACACACATATTATGCAAACAAAACTTTTTTTTATTGGATGCGATTAATCGCGATTAATCGTTTGACAGCACTATTATTTATATGTATTATTATTAATAATTTATGTATTGTTTCAGTATGTATATATTTGAGTAATTATTTGTCATTTAAATGATTAGTAGTATGTAAATTAATATTCAGTCTGTCATTAGATACAGTTAACTTGTGATTGATCACATTATGTTTCAGGTGGTGGTTGCCGGGCGAAATATTTTCAAGATTTACGGTCTGGAGGAAGATGGTTTCGTGGAGCGGCTGAACCTGCGCGTGGGCCGCAAACCCTCGCTGAACTTCAGCTGTGCGGACGTCATGTGGCATCAGATGGAGGAGAACCTGCTGGCCACCGCCGCCACTAACGGAGCCGTGGTGACGTGGAATCTGGCGCGGCCCTGCCGTAACAAACAAGAGCAGCTGTTCACCGAACACAAGCGCACGGTCAATAAAGTCTGTTTTCACCCCACTGAGGTCAACATGCTGCTGTCTGGCTCTCAGGACGGATTCATGAAGTGTTTTGACCTGCGCAAGAAGGAGAGCGTCAGCACCTTTTCTGGTACGTACAGATGTGCAGATGAACATCTCTGACTTTACCACGACATCGTTTACATACACAAAAAGCCACAGAACAACATCCGAGCACCTATTTTCAATTCACTTTAATTTGAGAAACACATCTGGAGCTTTTTAGACACTCAATCAGATGTTATAGAAATACACAATGTGAACAGCAGTGTTTTTGCAGGTCAGTCTGAGAGCGTGAGAGATGTGCAGTTCAGTATTAAGGATTATTTCACGTTCGCGGCCTCGTTCGAGAATGGAAACGTGCAGCTGTGGGACATTCGCAGACCCGACCGATACGAGAGAATGTTCACCGCGCACACCGGACCCGTCTTCTGCTGTGACTGGCACCCTGAGGACAGGTGTGTGTGTGTGTGCGTGCACTCTCAACTAAACTATTCATAATAATACTGTTGTATAAAATTTTTCACATGTTTCACATGTACAAGTGCTTCACAGGTCAGCACATTAAAAATACAAAAAAATAATTAATAAAATTGAAATAGAAAGATAAATGATAAGGAAATAATAATAATAATTAAAATGATGATAATAATAATAATAATAATATTTTAAATAATGACAAACTTAAAAAAATGAACATTTAAAAAATAAAATGAGAAATATCATATAATATGAGCTCAAAATATAATAATAATTAGTGTACTATTATTATTATTATTATAGTAAAATTCTAAATAATGACTTAAGAAAAAAGTGAAAACTGAAAATTAAAAAAGGATGATAAAATGAAAAGGAAATAATAATACAATTCTAAATAGTGACTTTCAAAACTTAATAAAAGTTAAAATTTTTAAAAGGTTACATTTACTATAATAATAGTAATAATAATTTTAATTATTATTGTCGTTATAGTAAAATTCAAATTCTAAACTTACAGTTAAAGTAAACATTTAAAAAAGGAAAATAAAATGAGGGTTATAATAATAATAATAATAGTAATAATAATACAATTATTAATAAATTATTATTATGAGAACATTCTAACTAATGACTTATGAAACATAAAAAGTGAAAAGTTTAAAAAAGAAGATAAAATGAGATTGAAATAATAATTACAAAATAATAATAACAATTGTAAAATTCGAAATAATGACTAAAGAAACTTTAAAAAGTGAAAATGAAAAAAAGATGAAATAAGAAGGAAGTAATAATAATAGTCAAGTTCTAAATAATTTTTTTCAAAATGAAAACTTCTACTTAATAAATACTCAAAAGCTAACTTTTTATTTTTTTGCCTAATTTTAGTTTGTAAAAGTTTACACATTTTTCATCCTCCTGGATTTTAAGCGCAATCTCTCTGGCTCTGTTTTGTATATATAACGTGTTTCTCTGTCTTGTAGGGGTTGGCTCGCCACAGGCGGACGTGACAAGATGGTGAAAGTCTGGGACATGTCGACTAACTGCGTGAAGGAGATCTACTGTGTTCAGACCATAGCGTCGGTGGCCAGGGTGAAGTGGCGTCCGGAGCGCAGATATCACCTGGCCACCTGCTCCATGATGGTGGACCACAACATCTACGTGTGGGACGTCCGCCGGCCATTCATCCCCTTCGCGACCTTCGAGGAGCACAAAGACGTGACCACAGGAATCGTGTGGCGGCACCAGCACGACCCCTACTACCTGCTGTCGGGGTCCAAGGACAGTACGCTGTACCAGCACATGTTTAAAGACGCCAGCAGACCCATCGACCGCGCCAATCCTGAGGGACTCTGCTTTGGGCTGTTCGGTGACCTGGCGTTTGCTGCTAAAGAGAGTCTGATGAGCGGTGAGTGACTCGGGTGAACTGCAGTTAACCCTTCTGTTGTGTTGAAAAACTGGGTACACTTTTTGTGTTGTGGGTCAAATTAAACCGCATTGGTTTCCATGCAATTTGACAAAAAATGACTCTGAAAAACACTAAAGATGCACAAAAACACTAAAATCTCTAGCTTGTTAAGATATATTTATATATATATATATATATTTTTAACATATTTTTATGTTCAGAATTACCTGCACAGATACTAAATATTTATAACTAATTATAATTACTATTTGCACCTCAGTGCAAATAACTACAGGTAAGTATAAATAGTATCTAACATTATTTGCACTTAGTGTAAGTAGCATTTATTGCTGTTTGTACTTCCTCTGCCTTTTATGTCATTTTCTCAAAGCCTTGTGAGGGTAAAATGGGTTTTCACACTTCTTTCAGTGCTGCAACAGACTAGTAATTGAGCTCCAAAAAACGAACAACCATAAACAACCAGATTTTTTAAGTAAATGAAGACGCAATGAATTCTGCCTGCATGATTCAGAAGACGAGTCTCAATTTCAAGTAAACTTTGACTCTTACATTTCTCATTTATTTCATATTTTACTGTTTGACAAGCTACAATAACGGTTTTCTGTATTTTACCTCTCTTTAGTGTTTTTCAAAGTGTTGACTTTTGGCAAATTGCATGCTGATATGTAAGTTAACTAACTAAAATAAATAATAAATAGAAAAAAATAAATAAAAAAATAGAAAAAAAACAAGATGATCGAGTATAAAATGATCTTTTGTTTTTTTTGTCTTTCTATATGTATAAGGTTTACCAGCTCTAGTGTTGTATGTCACATGACATGCAGGTCAACAAATATTTAATCTTTTTTTTTTAGTAAGTGTATCATTTTGATTATTTTTGATCACATTTTATTTTTAAAAAGGGTTAGTAAAATACTTGAATAGTATTTATTTTTAATTGAATGCATATTTAGTATGATTAATAATTAATTATTCTCTTTTTATTAATTCACAAACCTGCAGTTTGCTCACAAACCCTGTTTTACAGGAGTTTTAATTTTGTTTTTGTGTCATACAGGAATCAACCACATGGACGATGCTGCGAATCATGTTTTCAGAGCCGGCTAATCCGTCCTTGTCAAGCAATCACAATCTGAATAAATCAGGAAACCTCCCGCTCGTCAACAGGTACTGATATTAGCCCAGGTGATTTTTGTATTTCTGAATCCCCTCCTCTAATACGGTTCATCAGTTTGCCTGTTTCCTGTACTGCAGCTTTAGTATGAAGGAGATGAGCACTGCTCTCAATGAGAGAAACAAAGAAAACAGACAAGACAACCTCCACAGCCTGGAGACCAACCTCAACAACAATGACGGTGAGACAGACACATAAACAGCAGCTGCATCCTGATGAGAAACTGATGAGAGACCAGTAAAAGAGACATGCAACACGTACCAAGAGACAGTCAGCTAGATTGTGTTTACAGAGCAAACTTTGTGCTTGCTCTCTCAAAACGTCTGCATTCCCCCAAGAAGTGTTGCCTTTGATCACAAAACCTTTGCGTTTACCAGAGAAACTTTGCATTTGCTTTTAAAATCTTTGCATTTGCCAGAGAGACTTTGCTTTCACTCATAAAACCTTTGCGTTTCCCTAATAAACGTTGTGTTCAATTGCAAAACCTTTGCGTTTCTCTAAGAAACCTTGGACTTGCTTTAGAAAAACTTTTTTCTGCCTGTCCCAGAGAAACTTTGCTTTCACTTGCAAAATCTTTGCATTTACTGAGAAACTGCATTGTTCACAAAACCATTCTGATGCCCATTAAACTTCACCCACAGAGTTTCTGTGCAGAAAATTGGCAAAAGAAGGGATAGTTCACCCAAAACCAAAAATCCTTTCATCATTCAGCCTCATGTTGTTCCAAACCTGTATGATTGACATTAAGTAATGGATTCAGTCTGTTCTTGGATAGTGCAAAAGTCACATGGACTCCTTTTATGGTGCTTTTTCAACTTGGAGCAATTTGGACATTCTGTTAAGCATCTCCTTTTATGTTCCACAGAAGACAAAGTCATACAGATTGGGAATGACCTGTAAATGATGACAGAATTGTCATTTTTCGGTGAACTAACCCTTTAAATGCCTCAAGGTTAATAACTTGGCTGACTGTTATTATACAGATGGATTTTGATTTGTGATTATGTAGTAATGTATGTATATATGTAGTAATTATGGTGTCTCTGTGGCCTCCTCAGCTGTCAGTCCAGATTTTTAGCTGCCAGAACACTAAAACTTTGGATAAAAGATGTGTTTCTGAGTGCAGAGAACGAGGAGACGGAGGGCAGCGAGGGACAGGCGGAGTATCTGTTTGGAGACGCTGAACTGGATGACGATGATCTCTACAGCATGGAGCACGACAACCAGGCAGGTTGGTCAGCACATCCAAACACATCTCACAGGTATGTGTGTAAAAAATCAAATGGAAAGCCTCTGTTCTCTCCAGCAGAGGAACCCGAGTACCTGCTCCCTCAGGAGGCGTTCCCGTTACGGCACGAGATCATGGACCATCCCTCGGCCCCGGAGCCGGTGCAGGAGAAGCCCGAGTCGCCTCACGTGAGCGGGAGCGAAGCTGAGAGCACGTGCCTGACTTCCATGGAGTCCTTCAGTCTCATTTCCGTCTCGCAGCTGCTTTTCTCGCCTCACCTGCCGCCCAAGTTCTTCTGCCCTATCGTGAAGAAGATGCTGTGCTACTACGCCAAGCAGGGCGACGTGCAGATGGCCGTGTCCGTGCTGATCGTACTGGGCAAACGCATCCGCAAGGAGATCGACGAGCTCACGCAGGTGAGAAAAACCGTCCCACTTTGACAGGAAGTGTAGGGTTTTTGTTTGTGATGTTTTAATCTGTGTGTGTTTGTTTCAGGAACACTGGTACATGTCCTACATCGACCTCCTGCAGCGCTTCGAGCTGTGGAACGTCAGCAACGAGGTGATCAAACTGAGCACGTGCGGCGCCATCATGTGTCTGAATCAAGCCTCCACCACCTTACACATCAACTGCAGCAACTGCAAGCGACCAATGAGCAACAAGGGCTGGATTTGTGACAGGTAGCACCTCCAATCCCTGACTTTTATCTTGTTTTTCTCCTTTGCCAAGTCAAAAATCAACCAAGCTATGAGTTTCAGTCCTTTAACATTAGAGCTTATACATCTGTTACTGTGTTTAAAGGTCATTTAAAGGTGTATTTGTTTTCTTTTTTAATATTTATGGAAATGTTTATATACATGCCTTATAAACAACTACAATTAATATATTTTCATTATACATTTTATGTTGAAATTATAATTTATTATAAATTTATTAGAATTTATTTGTTACGATATAATTTATTAATTCTAATTAATTGATCTTAAAAATATAATTTGGAAAAAATTCTAAACTTTTTGAGAATTTCACACACTTTATGTCCACTTTATAAATTAATAAAATTAATATAATTTACAATTTTAATTATAAATATTTATTATAATATTTTAAATAATTCTAATGTATTATAAACTTATTAAAATGTATTTACTATTATATCACATTTTTTTTATGAAATAAATTATTAATTAAAATCTTATCATTTAGAAAAAATTTAAGATATTTATTGATTGATTGGGTATTTTGTGTATGTATTTGAATCCTCCATAGGTGCCACCAGTGTGCGAGCGTGTGTGCGGTGTGTCATCACGTGGTCAAAGGCTTGTTTGTGTGGTGTCAGGGCTGCAGTCACGGAGGACACCTGGAGCATGTGATGGAGTGGCTGAAACAGTCCAAACACTGTCCGGCCGGCTGCGGACACCTGTGTGAATACACCTGACACACACACACACACGAGACACGCTGGACTCTCTAGCAGAGGACCGGTCAGGCTGCTACTTATGAGGAAAAATAAGTATAACTAATGATTAGATGATAATCAAACACAAAGGGAATCTGTATCTTTAGCACATTCGATTGTGTGCTAAAAAACAATCAGCCAACTTTTTTTTATTTTTTGGAGATTTTGTTTTATAAATACAATCTAATGTATATAAACTGTAGCTGAGATGCACTTGGCTTTGGGAATATGATTTATTCACCTTGAAAATACTCTGGAAAATTGTGTAAATGACGAACACATTGCATTGAAATCAGATTTATTTAAACTGAAACACTGGTGTTTGCCAATAAAGCCAGTCTTTACTAATCATCTGTGTGAGTTTGTGAACACGAAGACACGAAAACACTTTAAAAGTGACCTTTTTGGAAGAATATGATCTAAATTGTAAGCTGATTATATAAAACAATAATAATGGATTTTTTTTAAGTTGCATAATATTAAACCAAGTGTCATTTACCAGTATTATAAAAAGGTAAGTGGAAGCATTTATCAAAATATTTGTCAAAAAGAAGGTTTGAAATGCAAAAAGCAACAGATCTGGAGTTGATCGTTAGTGTGATTCTCTACACCTGTGTGAACACGCCTAAACTCCAGCTGAACAAAAAGCATTGCTCAAGTTCTGGCATCATTTTTTGCAGATGCCATTTATTTTCATATTTTGCTAATTCATACAGTATGTGATGAACCACTTATGTTTTAAAATGTGTCTCAAGTGTCCAAATACTTGTGGACTTCAAGCATTTTTTTTGTCTCGGGTAAGTGTCTTCTCTTTCATTATATTCTTCCAAACGGTTTATGTATGTACTATGCACTTGTTCTTTTTTTAAGCTTAAAGTCCGCATGAAATCAAAATTGACTTTATTTACTTTACTAGCGCACATTGCTAGTCTTGATGTGAACAATTCATCCGTGCAAGTTAATCTGCTGAAAAACATTGTTAGTCTTCATAATCTTTAATCAAAATCTGAACATTTACTTCCGCTCTGGAATGGCATTCCTTCTCTGATGAGGTCAAACGGCTTGGGCAGAATAACCTTAAACACACCCCTCTAACCTTTAGACTGCTAATGAGTGAGAGACAGAGAGGAGGAGCGCAAAAATAAAACCACACCCTCTATCCACCCTTTTCTTCAATGCGGAAGTAAGCCTATGGGTGAGACTTCCGGTTTATTAGCCGCTATAGGTAAATAACGAGGAGAATAACAACGTGCAGTAAACGGTAAAACTGTTTGCACTACAAACCAGTGTGTTCATAATTAAGATAATACATTAAAATAATATAAGACACACCAACTTTCAATATCAAGCAGCAAAACTAACTGTTTTGTTCAGCTAAAAATAGCTGGAAGGAGTGGACGCAGATGAGACCGGAAGCCAGACCCATAGAATTTACAAATGGCCGCCCCCATTTTTACGACAAGAAAAAGGTGGATTCAATTATTCAGTTTCAGCTGGAAATACGTCACTACACTGAAATAAAGTTGGCAGCAACTTCCGGTTCACACGGACTTTATCAAAGTCATTCTGATGGTACACTGACTTATCTGTCGAATGGCTTCTGTTTCTTTCCCGCGCCGCGCTCCCCTCAACTCACTCACTCAGTTTGGTGAGCGGGTACGAAATTCCGTGAAAAGGGCGGATTGCTTTACAGCAGCAACAAATGCACGACTGTAATTATGATAGTGATATATTTACGACGGTGAATTCCACTCATTTAACTGGAGGGGGCCCCGAAGTCGCAAAAATACACACAACTACATATATTTGCTTTAAATGCTGTATTTCCAGACCTTAAAAGACTCGATTCTTGTACATTTATGTAACATAATTACAATAAAGACTTTGTTTTCATAATTGACAGACTAGCTGATTAACATAAAAATCTTTTAAAATTGATATAGTAAAAAAAAATTTTTTTATATAATAAATTGACAGTAGCTTCAACAATATGACCATAAACCTGGACATAAAATGGACATAACATAAAATCTTAATCATGCAACACCAGCAGAATTCATTTCTGTGTACATTTTTGCATCGGATTGAACTAAATATTCAGTTAAAAATGTTCTAATTTGTTATGGATTAACTTGAGTTCGTTGTCATCTTGTAGTAGTAATAATAATAACTATTCTGCTGTTTTGCATATTTCCCCAGCTTTGGCCATACTGTATCACTTACAGTCATACCAATAAAGCTGTTTGAATGAACTGAACTGCATATGGCAGTTTGCATAACAGTGGTTTTGACAAACGAATGAGTGTATTTATAACATACACAGTATTTAAGAGATGATTAGACGAACAATTGAGAGTAAAGATCATTTGAGGTTTGATTTATGAATGAAACTCTTTCAATACTCAGGCTTTAAATAGGTTGCTTTTAAATCTAATCTAATGAGAGGTTTGATTCGTTGTACAGCAATAAACAGTATTTGTGCTCGCAGTATCCACGCATGTATTTCTGTGTGCACTGAATTCCTGACAGGAAGTTCAAATCCTCTGGCTCCGCCCTGTCTGATACAGCTCTGTCTGTGATTGGTCAGTTCTCATGATGCATGTACCATGTGACTGGAGCACAGGCGAGAGACGCTCTTCACGTGCTTGTCATTTTCGGCCGCCCTGTCGTCGTCTTCGGCCCTCGTTCGGTCCGTCATCTCCATCTGAACTTGAGTGACACGGCTCTTCTCTCTGGCCCGTCCCTGCGGCCGTCTGTGTGTTCAGGGTGGTTTTTCACCCTCCGTCGGTAAAAGCAAGTGTCCTGCAAGGATAAACACATCAGTTAGAAAGTCATTCAGATAGAAATCTTCCAAAATTCAAGTTCTGATCGTCTCATGTACACATACACTACTTTTCAAACGTTTGGGGTTGTAAGTTTTTTTTTACTGTTTTTGAAAGAAGTCTCTTCTGCTCACCAAGGCTGCACTAATTTGATCAAAAAATACAGTAAAAATAGTAATATTGTGAAATATTTAAAAAAATTTAACAGTTTTCTATGTGAATATCTGTTAAAAAGTCATTTATTCCTGTGATCAAAGCTGAATTTTCAGCATCATTACTCCAGTATTCAGTGTCACATGATCCTTCAGAAATCATTCTAATATGCTGATTTGCTGCTCAAGAAACTTTTCTGATTATTATCAATGTTGAAAATGTTGTGCTACTTAATATTTTTGTGGAAACCGTGATTTTTGATTTCATATAAATGATGTTCAACCAACCCATTCACAGCTGTTAGGATTGTTCCCAGTTGTGTGAGCTTTTCTCTGAAGCGCTGAGACGCTGGAGACTGTGAAGGATTTCCTTCAGACTGTCAGCTGGACAGAGAAACACCATATGAATTCACACGTCCTCGTGAGGGAAGCCTTATACACACGCACAGAAACAAAAGTCTTACCGAGCTCCGCTATATGAGACTCCATCATAGACAGCAGCTGAGAGCACATCAAGCCGTCACCTACAACAGACAGACATCAGAGCGCTTATTAATACAGACGAGGTGTGACAGATCAATGCATTACAACAGCCTGAAGTTAAGCTTCTGTTATACGGTTTAAATCCAGACCTCAACAGACAAAAATGGCATTCAAATCTCACTAGAAAATCTGATTTATAGTGGTAATTACATATACATGGCCCTAACATGAGATGCATATACCAAGTGATAATATATGCTTCTGTGGTTTGCAGCTAATTTTGTGTCTTGTGCACCCATTTTTTTTTTGCAAGCAAAACCACCAGTGTTTTATTTTTCAAAATTTTTGGATTCGCAAAATACGTTTCTCAAGCAAAACCCTTTCAGGAAATTACAATATGTATTTATAAATGTTATATATATATATAATATGTGTGTGTGTTTTGACAATAGTTTTGATTGCAAACTATTTTTTGATACATAAAAAAATTCATACTGCAGAAATAAAATTGATAAAATGAAAAGTCAAATAGTGATAAATAAAATGGTGAATAAATACTTTTTTTTTTTAATATTCATGAAAAAAAAATGCATTTCAATCAAATTTAAATAACACTGTTAAATAGTGATTAAATAGTGATAGAATTAAATGTTATTAAAATAGGAAATGGAATTTTATTAAAACATTTTAATAAATAGTGATAAATTTAATTACATAAAATTTTAATAAAACAAACTTTTTTTTAATGCACACTAAAGGCACACACAAAAACTTTCATACTGTAGAAGCCACAAGTTGGTGTGATTTCCACTTCATTTTTATTGTATATTTGTGTATTTGTTTTTTGAAGAAAGTTTGCCTGTGCAAAACTTGTTCCTAGGGTGCTGGAGAGTTGCTAAGGTGTTCTGATTGGTTGCTAGGTGGTTGTTAGGCTTCTCTGGGTGGTTGCTAGGCTATTTCTGACAGTAGTAGTGTTTTATTAAAACAGAAATAGAATAAAAGACACTGATTATACTGCATTATTCGCAATGCATTCTGGGAATTAATTTGTGAATTTCCTTTTTCGGATTTTTTGCATTTTACGCAAATAAAAGCATTGGCAGGTTGCACACACCTTTCCCCGCAGCTCGAGTGTCCTCCTGCGCGAGCTGTGCGTGAGTGTTGCGTAGAGCGTGTAGTTTCCCGCTCAGCCTCTGAAAGCTTTTGCTGTTCTCCTGCAGCTCCGCCTGAATGCTCTTCCACGCCATCTTCTCCTCCATCAGACATCCCTCCATCACAGCACGCAGCTCCTTCTCCTGAGACACTTGAGCCTGCAGAGACTCCACCTCCACACAACGCTACACACACACACACACACACACACACACACACACACAGAAAGCTTAAAGGTGCAGTATGTAATATTGACAACTAGTGGCTGAAATGGGTACTGCAGTCCGAATTCAAAATATTGAAGAGAGTTGTTTCTCCCGCCCCTCCTCCTCAGACTCAGATCTCAGGCGGGTTGCCAGATTGAGGACACAACAGGAACGAGTGCAATTGACAACGGAAGGCGATGAGCCTTACACTGTAAGCTGATGAGTTGATTTATCCATGTTTTAATATTCCTCTGGTCATAGAGCTTTTTTGATGGATGTAGAGGCTTTTTAGGTCAGGTAGAATCTGTGACCTCTGACCCAGCTCGTTTGCTGGCTTCCATGGCTGCCATAGGCTGTGTTTTCCACCCGGGGTGTCGAAATACTATTGGGTAAACCGGCAGTGGGCGTAGTCACACAGACCAAAACATAAATGGACATTCTGACATGGAACACACATTTCAAAGTAGAATAACTTCTCTGTAGCAAGTATTGTTTTTGGAGAAACAAGTGAAGTATGCAAACTTAGCAGGTATCCTAAATATCTGCAAAGGTATTATGTGTTTTTATGCTTTAGTACAGTCAAAAAATTACATTGAGAACCACACAATAACTACAGCAAACTTGCAGTTATTATGTGGTACATTTATGGCAATGTTGTTGCCAGAACAGTGCTCTTTTTACAACATCAGTTTTATGCATGGCAGCCCTTGAGCTCCACTTATTTTGAAGGATTGATTTTATAGCATGCTATTCATTTTATTGTGACCTAGTACACAAGCAAATGGATATAAAGTCCAGTAATGCTCTGAGATTTTATACATTTAAATGCAGGTAAAACCTGGTTATATAGCAAGAACTCTACCTGTTAACATTTAACAATTATTATAACATTATTTTATGAAATAGGTCAGTCTCGTCACTGCGTACATTCAAAGACTTAATTTTTTTGGTTCGTTGTTGATGTTACAGTTCACACTTAATCACAAACTAGGTGCCAATTAAATGACGGTTCTCTTCCCACCCCGACTTTAGCTACAGTCCTACAATCCTCCTTACATGCAAAAGAGCTGAATGAAGTGAAGATGGTGTGAATGGCAGTCATGCAGTCAGCACCTTATGAAGCTGAATGGCCATTTCCTGCATCTCGGCCTCCAGTTGGTCCGCATACGCCTGCTCTAACGCATCACTGGGCGGCCGTGCATTACTGTGCCAGCGAGCTATTGCTGAGGTCATCTTCCTTTTAGGACCAAACAGACTATAAAGAAAAAGCACAACTTGAAATAAATAAATACTACACTTTAATAAACCAAAAAATACAATTTAAATAAACTGCTAAAATAGTTAAAATAAAAAATATATATAAAAAACATTGTATTAATAAAAATACAATAAAATAAAATGCATACATTTTATTTTTGAAAAAAGAGTTAATTGATTGAAAAATAAAATAATATACTTTAATTTAAAAAAATTACAATTTAAATAAAGTGATAAAAACTGTATAAATAAAATACAAATAAAATTAATGAAATGAAAAAATAACATTTAATAAAATAAAAATAACAGTTAAATAGTGGTAAACAAATGGTAAAAAATAAAATAAAAATACCGTATAAATAAAATAAAAACTAAAATAATATTAATGAAATTACAAATAAAATAAATTTCAACAAAATAAAAAAATAATACAATCAAATTGTGATAAAATTGTAAAAAAAAAAAAAAAAAAGTAGTTTAATAAAATAAAAACACTTAATTTAAAAAAAATATTTTAAGAAATCATTTTAATCAAATTGAAAATAAAATAAACTTTAATAAAACACAAAATAACTTTTTAATAAAGTGATAAATTTTAATAAAATGAGAAAAATAAAACGAAGTGCAAAGACTCACGTGATGCCAACTTCCTTGAGGTCGTTCTCAGTAAGTGTGAGGAAGATCCTCAGGTCGATGTCTTGCTCCTCCAGCAGGGGAAGGTATTTACCGAACCCGATCTGCTCCAGAAACTCTGCAAGATCCTGCAACACGTACACACACTCTTTACTGGTGCATTTGAACTCAGGAACACATCACTATAACACACACTGAAGTGACTAGACGAACATGCAAACACACACAGTGTATGAAGGAGGAGGTCCAGAGGAAGACGGAGCCTCATGGTAACCGGTGCTGCCGCTGCTGTTACCGGGACTCCTGCCTTTGGAGTGCTGGAGTTTATTGGATCGACGTGGACATCTTCTCTTTGCTTGATCAGAGTCCTGCAAACATGATGAGACGTTAAGAGAACAGTTTCCTGGAGATGTTTATTGTGATACATGATGGATCGGACCTCGTTGCTCTCCAGCGACGCCTCCCTGCTGAGTCCGAGGAGATGAGACAGACCCTCGCTGCTGCTGCTCCTCATGGTGGGCATGTCGTTATCAAAGAACAGCTCATCTGCATAACAGAATCACATTGAATCGCATGTTCTTAGCAGATGCATTGCTGAGAACGACTGACATCTCGCTGAACTTCACACCTCTACTGCTGTTGCTCTGGCCGTCGAGCTCATTGATGGGGGAAGTGACATCACGATTGCAGATTCCCTCGCTCTGATCCCCAGCGTCCCGGAAGGTCACGTATCCAGGTGGAGCCACGGGAACCTCTGCAGTGAAAGAATACATTTCTTTGTCTATATATAGATTCAACATCCCTTTCCACTATTCTATTCTTTTTTTTATTTTATTAAAATGTACTTTTAACAAAACTTTAAATTAATGTGAATATATTTATAAAATAATTTAAACCTATTTACAATTTAATAAAATGACTAATTACTAATAAAATAACTAATAACTAATAATAATTTCATTAAACATTTTTTAAATTTCATTGTATTAAATCTATATATAGATTCAGCATCCCTTTCCACTATTTTATTCTTTTTTTTTTTTTTATAAAAATTTACTTAATTTCTTTTTACTTTAAATAAATGTGAATATATTTATAAAATAATTTAAACATATTTACAATTTAATAAAATGACTAATTACTAATAAAATAATAACTAATAAAAATTTAATTAAACATTTTTTGAATTTTATTGTATTAAAATGTAGTTTTTTAATATTTAACTTTAAATAAATGTGAATATATTTATAAAATAATTTAAACATATTTACAATTTAATAAAATGACTAATTACTAATAAAATAATAACTAATAAAAATTTAATTAAACATTTTTTGAATTTTATTGTATTAAAATGTAGTTTTTTAATATTTAACTTTAAATAAATGTGAATATATTTATAAAATGTAATATTATTTAATTTGTCTATAGATTCAACATCCCGTTCCACTATTTTATAATATTTTATTTTATTAAAATGTACTTTAAAAAAAAATAAAAATTTTAATAAATGTGAACATATTTATAAAATAATTTAAACATATATTTACAATTTAATAAAATAACTATTTAATTAATTATTTTTTATTGTCTTGTATTAAAATGTACTTTTAAATTTTTTTTTACTTTAAATAAATGTTAATATATTATAAAATACTTT